GCTGCTACTGCTACTGCTACTACTTCTACTGCAACTACTGTAATCACTCCTGCTACAACTACTGCTGTTTCTGCAGCTGTCAGAGAGTTTTTCTTCAACCAGCCGATTACTACAATGACTAGTGCAGTGGCCCCTGCTGCCAGTGTCATTCTGTGAAGTCCTGTACCTCGCACCAGCTCAGGTCAGTAGTGACCCGGAAAACCAGACTCCAGACGTACCTTCTGTCTAGATGTTTAACAGTGGATTCCTGTCACGCAGGAATTGAACGGATTTCTGTGGTAAATGAATAACTGCCGCTGCGCTTCCACTGAACTCATGAAGGAATGTTACGTCACGTGACGCAGGCTTTAAGAGCGCTTCATACCTGTGCGTCTCTCACTCGCGCACTGACGCTTGGACCCGCGGCACTGTATCCTCTTACTTCATATGACCTTAGCGCGCTCACTACCCGGTCTGGAGAAGACGGCGAAAATTCGCGGAACACTCGGGAGCTACAGTCGGCTCCATCGCACCGAGCGCTACCTGCATTCTGAGCCCCCAAATAAGGCTCTGTCCTCGGGTTAACAACCACCAGCGCACCGCTTCACTGTCATCCATCCAGTGCGCTCTACAAGGAACAGAACCCCAGTTGAGGGAAAAAGAAAAGCTCCACAAGTCCTTCATAACACGGACTCCTGAAGCCGTAAGTCGCGCTCTATTCTGCACCGCCACATTCAGCCTGGGTCTGGAGGCTGAGGACGCACTCGTCTCTTCTGCAGTAAGATGTATAGTGTAGTGAGATGTGTAGTAAGGTGTAGTAAGTGTATGCTGAATTTTAGAAAAGTTGTTGTTTTAGATCAAGAAATTACTCTAGTAAGAGTAAAAAGTATATGAATGAGAAAACTACTACTGAAGGAAGAGTAGCCTCATTTCAAGAGTAACTGAACTGTTTACTCTGAGTCTAGAGTCAGATGCTCCAGACACTTTGACAGTAAATAGGAATGCTCCACAGCAGGGCATTAAACATAGGGCTCTCCTCTCCATAGATCTGATCTGTAACTTTCCCAGGTATTGTAACCTGCTTGTCTCTACGGAAGCCCTGAGAGGCAAGAGAAAAAAAAAAAAAAAAAGAGGCAGATCATTTGGGCTCTATTTTCTAAGTGTTTTTTTTTTTTTTTTTTTTCACCAACTCAACAAAAAAATAAATAAAAATAAAAAATACAAAATTCTACCAAAAAAATTCTACAATTTATTATTTTTTCTAAAAAAAAAACAATTTTTTCAAAAAAAAATTTTTTTCTCTTTTTTTTTCGCTGTTGATGTGGCTGACGAAAACAAAACAAAACAAAAAAAAACCCACCACTCAGAGCCTGTTTTCCTGGTGTATTCCTATAAGTACCACACTTCGGCTCCGGCAAGCTGCCGGAGATTTGGCTTATGGCGTTAGGTTCTGGGTTAGGACGTGGGAGGCTGGGGTTTGAAACTCACCTGGGCCGGGTTGTGTGTTTTTATTCTAGCTGAATACAGTCTATTCATGAGTTTTATGTTTTATTTAGGGGCCCGGAGGTGCGTCCGTCGTAGACCGTTGGATCATTGCAGCGTCTCTCTCGCTCTTGCTCTCTCTCTCTCTCAAATCCCATCGCAATGAGAACACGCAAAATGCAAAAATGCTCTACGCGTCAGGGCGCACCGCTAAAACCAGAAACAGTACGGCATTCTGTCTTCCAGCCTGGAGCAGTGATCCCCACTTTCGCTCTCACAGAATGACAGCGGATCAGTGATGCATTGATCTTAGTTCTCATATTACTCATAAAAGAGAACATAAAACATAAAACTCATGAATTCAGCTTTTTTTTTTTGTCAGCCACATCAACAGCGGAAAAAAAAAACACACACAAGAGAAAAAAAAAATGTAGAAAAAAAACATTTTTTTAGAAAAAAAAAAAAAAAATGTCGAAAAAATGTGTAGAAAAAAAAAAATTTGGAGAAGATTTTTTTTTTTTGAATTGATGAAAAAAAAAAAAAACACTTAGAAAATAGAGCCCAAATGACCTGCCTCTTTTTTTTACATAAATCGATTTTAATGCCACTACAACATTCACGACAAAGCAACAGCATCTCCATGGATACAAGGAGACATACCCAGAAAAGTTACACAGTGAACCTTTAAAACCTCATATCCCTGTGTTATAGGGCTCAGGCGTTCATTTAGTGAAGCAGATATTTGATGTTTTGTAGAAGTGACACGTGTGACAGATTCCACAGACGTGTGTTGCTGTTACACTTCTAAACCTGAAATAATCAATAATATCTGAACAATATTTTACACCTTTAGTTTTCTGTCATTCCATGTCTGTTTTAGACTTGGTTTAGTCTTGATTTAGTCCATGTTTAGACCTGTTTTAGACCTGGTTTAGTCCTGATTTAATCCATGTTTAATCCTGGTTTAGTCCTGGTTAAGTCCTGATTTTGTCCATGTTTAGACCTGTTTCAGACCTGGTTTAGTCCCGATTTAGTTCATGTTTAGACCTGTTTCAGACCTGGTTTAGTCCTGTTTTAGTTCATATTTAGACCTGTTTTAGACCTGGTTTAGTTCTGATTTAGTCCATGTTTAGACCTGTTTCAGACCTGGTTTAGTCCCGATTTAGTTCATGCTTAGACCTGTTTTAGACCTGGTTTAGTCTTGATTTAGTCCACGTTTAGACCTGTTTTAGACCTGGTTTAGTCTTGATTTAGTCCATGTTTAGACCTGTTTCAGACCTGGTTTTAGTACTTGCTGTGCTTGTGTTTACTTCATAATAACAGCTTTTGTAAAGTGGTGTGAGATGCACAGGTGGGAGGAGCCAGAGCAGAGGGGGCGTGGCAAAACACTTAAATCATAGTTTTTGAGCCGACGCGTCACACTTTTGAAATAGTGGTCTGAGAATGACAAACATGTCCATAAACACACACATACAGTTTTATACACACACTGTATGTGTCACAGCTGGAGCCTCGGTCATATTTAAGGAGACACTCAGTCTGTGTATGTACTGTTAATATCACAGATACTACTACTACTACTACTACTACTACTACTACTACTACTACTACTACTACTACTACTTTTCTATAGTTTAGGGAGCACATATCACAAATCAACTTTATAACTGTTATCAGTTCAAGCTTTATTTGACTTGATCTTATCTGGGGACATCCATCCATCCATCCATTTTCGTCCGCTTATCCGGGGCCGGGTCGCGGGGGGAGCAGCCTAAGCAGGGACTCCCAGACTTCCTTCACCCCAGACACGTCCTCCAGCTCCTCCGGGGGGACCCCGAGGCGTTCCCAGGCCAGCCGAGAGACATAGTCCCTCCAGCGTGTCCTGGGTCTTCCCCGGGGCCTCCTCCCGGCGGGACATGCCCGGAACACCTCCCGAGGGAGGCGCCCAGGAGGCATCCGGAACAGATGCCCGAGCCACCTCAACTGGCTCCTCTTGACGTGGAGGAGCAGCGGCTCTACTCCGAGCTCCTCCCGTGTGACTGAGCTCCTCACCCTATCTCTAAGGGAGCGCCCAGCCACCCTGCGGAGGAAACTCATTTCGAGCGCTTGTATCCGCGATCTCGTCCTTTCGGTCACTACCCAGAGCTCATGACCATAGGTGAGAGTAGGAACGAAGACTGACCGGTAAATCGAGAGCTTCGCCTTTCGACTCAGCTCCCTCTTCACCACAACGGTCCGATACAGCGACCGCATCACTGCCGAAGCTGCACCGATCAGCCTGTCAATCTCACGTTCCGTCCTTCCCTCACTCGTGAACAAGACCCCGAGATACGTGAACTCCTCCACTTGAGGCAAAGACTCCCCACCCACCCGGAGAGGGCAAGCCACCTTTTTCCGGTCGAGAACCATGGCCTCGGACTTGGAAGAGCTGATCTTCATCCCAGCCGCTTCACACTCGGCTGCAAACCGCCCCAGTGCACACTGCAGGTCCTGGCTCGATGAAGCCAACAGGACAACATCGTCCGCAAACAGCAGAGATGAAATCCTGTGGTCCCCAAACCGGACCCCCTCCGGCCCCTGACTGCGCCTAGAAATTCTGTCCATAAACACAATGAACAGAACCGGTGACAAAGGGCAGCCCTGGCGGAGTCCAACATGCACCGGGAACAGGTCTGACTTACTGCCGGCAATGCGAACACAGCTCCTGCTCCGGTCATACAGGGACCGGACAGCCCTTAGCAAAGGGCCCCGGACCCCATACTCCCAGAGCACCCCCCACAGAACACCACGAGGGACACGGTCGAATGCCTTCTCCAGATCCACAAAACACATGTGGACTGGTTGGGCAAACTCCCATGAACCCTCGAGCACCCTATGGAGAGTGTAGAGCTGGTCCAGTGTTCCACGGCCAGGACGAAAACCACACTGCTCCTCCTGAATCCGAGGTTCGACTATCGGCCGGATTCTCCTCTCCAGTACCCTGGCATAGACCTTACCGGGAAGGCTGAGGAGTGTGATCCCCCTATAGTTGGAACACACCCTCCGGTCCCCCTTCTTATACAGATGGACCACCACCCCGGTTTGCCAGTCCAGAGGTACTGTCCCCGACCGCCACGCGATGTTGAAGAGGCGTGTCAACCAAGACAGCCCCACAACATCCAGAGACTTCAGGTACTCAGGGCGGATCTCATCCAACCCCGGAGCCTTGCCACCAAGGAGCTTGCCAACCACCTCAGTGACTTCGGCCAGGGTGATGGATGAGTCCGCCTCCGAGTCCCCAGCCTCGGCCTCCTCCTCGGAGGACGTGACGGTGGGATTGAGGAGATCCTCAAAGTATTCCTTCCACCGCCGGACAACGTCCCCAGTCGAGGTCAGCAGCTCTCCCCCCGCACTGTAAACAGTGTTGGTGAAGAACTGCTTTCCCCTCCTGAGGCGCCGGACGGTTTGCCAGAATCTCTTTGAGGCCGTCCGACAGTCCTTCTCCATGGCCTCCCCGAACTCCTCCCAGCTCCGAGTTTTTGCCTCCGCGACCACACGGGCTGCAGCACGCTTGGCCCGCCGGTACCCGTCAGCTGCCTCAGGAGTCCCCCGGGCCAGCAAGGCCCGATAGGACTCCTTCTTCAGCTTGACAGCATCCCTTACTTCCGGTGTCCACCACCGGGTTCGGGGATTGCCGCCGCGACAGGCACCACAGACCTTACGCCCACAGCTCCGAGCAGCTGCATTGACAATAGAGGCCGAGAATGAAGCCCACTCGGACTCCATATTTCCGGCCTCCCCCGGAATCCGGGAGAAGTCCTCCCGGAGGTGCGAGTTGAAGGTCCCTCTGACAGAGGGCTCCGCCAGACGTTCCCAACAGACCCTCACTACACGCTTGGGCCTGCCAGGTCTTTCCGGCTTCCTCCTCCGCCAGCGAACCCAACTCACAACCAGGTGGTGATCAGTTGACAGCTCAGCCCCTCTCTTCACCCGAGTGTCCAAGACACGCCACCGGAGGTCAGATGACACGACTACAAAGTCGATCATCGACCTCCGACCTAGGGTGTCCTGGTGCCACGTGCACTTATGGACACCCTTGTGCTCGAACATGGTGTTCGTTATGGACAAACCGTGACTAGCACAGAAGTTCAATAACAAAACACCACTCGGGTTCAGATCAGGGAGGCCGTTCCTCCCAATCACCCCTCTCCAAGTGTCAGTGTCGTTGCCCACGTGGGCGTTGAAGTCCCCCAGGAGAACAATGGAGTCCCCGGTCGGTGCACTGTCTAGTACCCCTCCCAAGGACTCCAAGAAGGCCGGGTACTCTGCACTGCTGTTCGGCCCGTAGGCCGACACCACAGTGAGAGACCTGTCCCCGACCCGAAGGCGCAGGGACGCGACCCTCTCGTTCACCGGGGTGAACTCCAACACACAGTGGCTGAGTTGTGGGGCAATGAGCCCACACCAGCCCGCCGCCGCTCCCCGCGGCCAACGCCAGAGAAATGGAGAGTCCAGCCCCTCTCAAGGAGTTGGGTTCCAGAGCCCAAACTGTGCGTGGAGGTGAGGCCGACTATATCTAGTCGGTAACGCTCAACCTCCCGCACAAGCTCAGGCTCCTTCCCCCCCAGCGAGGTGACATTCCATGTCCCCAGAGCTAGTCTCCATGTCCGGAGATCTGGTCGCCGAGGCCCCCGCCGTCGACTGCTGCCCAGATCTCTCTGCACCGGCCCCATATGGATCCTCCTGCGGGTGGTGGGCCCACGTGAGGACGGCCCCACATCACTCCTTTGGGCTGAGCCCGGCCGAGCCCCGTGGGGGGAGGCTCGGCCACCAGGCGCTCGCTGGCGAGCACCCACCCCAGGCCTGGCTCCAGGGTGAGGCCCCGGTGACGCCAATCCGGGCGACGTAACTGGCCTTGTTGGTACACTCATCATAGGGGCTTCTGAACCGTTCTTCGTCTGACCCGTCCCCCCGGACCTGTTTGCCTTGGGTGACCCTACCAGGGGCACGAAGCCCCCGACAACATAGCTCCCGGGATCATTCGGGCACTCAAACCCCTCCACCACGATAAGGTGACGGTTCAAGGAGGACATGTTAATGAAATTGTTAATGAAATTGAAAAGGCTCATATTTCACTGTTGTTCTAAAGTAGTTTCTTCATCACAAACAGACCTGCAGCTGTGTTTTGTTTAACCCTTCACATTTAGGCTGAGTTCTTCTCTCAGACAGAAAACACTGTTCCACCTTGTGATGTCATGTGTTGATACAGGAAGTGGTAAATGGTCACATTTTTCTACAGCGCTTTTCCACCTTCATGGCTCAAAGCTCTTTACAACAAGGAACCACACACACATTCACACACACACACACAGACACACACACACACACACACACACACGCACACACACACACACACACACACTTGGGGTGAGGCAGGTTAAGTGTCTTGCCCAAAGACATAACAACAACATTCAACTGTGGGAGCTGGAACCGCCAACCTGTGCGTCAGTGGATCTGACCGCTCAATCAATGATGTTTATGTCAAGAGCAGGATTTGAACCACCAACCTTCAGATCAGTGGATGCTCTACTAAAACTGAGCTACTGTCACCCCACCGTGTTTTTAAAGTCTATGCACCTTCACTAGAATTTGGATAATTTCAGCTCTGGAATTAAAGGTAAAAGGAGCTGTTAACTTGAAAACTACCACTTCATGACATCACAAGATGGAATAGAGCATTTTAGAGACAGACTTTACAGACAGACTAATAATAAAGGGTTACTCAAATGTGTGTGAATGAAACAAAACGTAACTCCAGGTGTGTTTTTGGTTTAAAGCTCACAAGAGTCACTTCTGTGTAATATAAGACATCTAAACCCTACATACAGTTCCTTGAAGATCTTTCCTCTCTCCTGCAGATATCCTGGCCCTCCGTGCACCCCCTGCTGTCTGCCCCTCGCCCAGCAGCATGATGCCCGTGTCATGTGAGGAGCTGGAGGAGCTGGAGTGTGTGGTGTGCTTTTACATGTACTCGCGCTCAGACAGGATTCCCCGCATGCTCCACTGCAGACACACATTCTGCTCCGTGTGCCTGGAGACCATGGCCTGTCTGAGGGGTGTGATCTGGACCGTGACCTGCCCCCTCTGCAGATGGACCACCTGCACCAACGCCTCACTCACCCTGCCGGGGGCGCTCTGGGTCAACACGGACATATGGGACCAGATCTCAGGGGAGCAGCAAGAGACCATCAAGGCTCAAAAGTAAGTCCTGAGATACATCTGGGTTAGACCTGGTTTAGACCTGGGTTAGTGCTGGTTATAGAACTAGTTTAGGGTGGGCCTGGTTTAGAACTGGTTTAGTCCAGTTTAAATTTGAATGTAGTTATGGTTCAGTCCTGGTTTAGTTGTAGTCCTACAGGTGGAAGAGGATGGGAGGGCATCTGACTAAAATATTTTTATTTTTTTTCAGGCCGGACAAAAAAACGTTTCTGTTCAAGTCAGCTCTCCGTAAAGTGTTCAGCTGTATACTGAAGCCCTCCACCTTGTAACAGAGGACTATTACTACCACCACTACCACCACCACCACCTCACTACTACTACTACAACTACTACTACTACAACTACTACTACTGTACCCAAGAGTCCTTCAGTCAGGACCAGAGACTTCAGGAAGGACTTGATTTGAACGTGAAGTTTAAAGATCCTCTGCTGCTGCTCCTACTTCTACTACTACCTACTACTAGTCAGTCTGCCCCAGGGCAGCTGTGGCTACAATAGTAGCTCACTGCGAGTGTGGAGTGAACAAACAATGAATTGTAAAGCTCTTTGGGTGTTTTGAAAGGCGTTATATAAATGCAATGATTAATTAATTTACTACTGCTACTACTACTACTACTACTACTACTACTACCACTACTACTACTACTGTAGTAGTTGCTGTTTAATGGGGCTTTGTCAAACTTAATGCTACTTTGAGCTTGTGTTGAACTAATATTGTTAAACTGGTATTTGAGTCATGTCCTGGTTTCTCAACACAGTCAGGTCAGAGCATTTGAACAACTCACATTTGAATAGTACAATGTGCTCTTCCTGTGCTCATTCACATTACCTGGGAGTGTGATGCTAACTGTAGGCTCTGCTCTGTCTGAAGCTCTGTTACTTAAGTTAGACTTTAATCTGAGTTTGTTTTAACACAATCTGACCTGAAAGAAGAGACTTAGATGAAATAGAACAGATGAGCAGATTTGTTCTGTTTAATAAGTTCCTCTCAAATAACATCTTCTTGAGTTTTCAGAGTTTTTTGACAGTGTTTGGGACTGTGTGCATTATGTCATCATGGTAACTGCTGAACATTTTGCCATCTGACATATAAAACACCTCCAGCAGACAGAGACATCCAAGTGTGTCTCATTCTCGGTTTATGGACAGACCAGGCCTCATGTGAAAACTCCAACCTCCAGAACTCCCTCGCTGAACTGCAGAGGCTGCACTAGCACTGACTCAGGACTGGTGCAGGTGATTTTTAGGTTTTAGTCATAGAATCTGACACCCCCACTGTTGTTAGTAAAATGTAACTATGACTAAAAAGTATGAATATTTTTTCCAACTATTAAAACCTAAGGCCTAAACCAGAACTAAACCAGATTTAGACCAGAACTAGACCAGGACAAACTTGAACACTTTAAATCTCTGTTTGTGACTTCTCATGATCTAAATGTTCAAATCACTTTAATGTTGTGACAAACAGCCCGTGAAATACTTTTTTTTTTATGCTGATAAAATGTGAAGAGTTTCTGCTCAAACTGAATTGTTTGTAAATTATAGATTATTATTGTATAAATATTTATAAAATATCACTTCTCTTAATTCATTTTCCTTGTGATTTTTAAAATAAAGTATTTAAAAGTAAAACCTATTGTGCTTGTGTGTTTCTACCTCTGATCATTTTAAATCACAATATTCATCTAAAACCACTTAAGAAAACAAACAAGTGCACTGACGTCTGTGTAAGAAAACTGTGGTGTCCAACGGAGCTGACATGACTGTAAACGTCATGACAACAAAACACCACATGGGCCCCTCCTAAACCAGGACTAAACCAAGATTAAACCAGGACTAAACTAAGACTAAACCAGGATTAAACCAGGATTAAACCAGGACTAAACCAGGATTAAACCAAGACTAAACCAAGAATAAACCAAGACTAAACCAGGATTAAACTAGGACTAAACCAGGATTAAACCAGGACTAAACCAGGACTAAACTAGGACTAAACCAGGATTAAACCAGGACTAAACCAAGACTAAACCAGGACTAAACCAGGAGTAAACCAAGAATAAACTAAGACTAAACCAAGAATAAACTAAGACTAAACCAGGATTAAACCAAGACTAAACCAAGAATAAACCAAGACTAAACCAGGATTAAACTAGGACTAAACCAGGACTAAAACCAGGACTAAACCAGGATTAAACCAGGACTAAACCAGGACTAAACCAGGACTAAACCAGCTAGGACTAAACCAGGACTAAACCAGGATAAACCAGGAGACTAAACCAGGACTAAAACCAGGAGTAAACCAAGACTAAACCAGGAATTAAACTAAGGACTAAACCAGGACTTAAACTAAACCAGGACTAAACCAGGACTAAACCAGGACTAAACTAAACCAGGACTAAACCAGGACTAAACCAAGACTAAACCAAGACTAAACCAAGAATAAACCAAGACTAAACCAGGATTAAACCAGGACTAAACCAGGACTAAACCAGGATTAAACCAAGACTAAACCAAGACTAAACCAGGACTAAACTAAGACTAAACCAGGATTAAACCAGGACTAAACCAAAACTAAACCAAGACTAAACCAGGACTAAACCAGGACTAAACTAAGACTAAACCAGGATTAAACCAGGACTAAACCAAAACTAAACCAAGACTAAACCAGGACTAAACCAGGACTAAACTAAGACTAAACCAGGACTAAACTAAGACTAAACCAGGACTAAACCAGGATTAAACCAGGACTATCAATCAATCAATCAAACTTTATTTATAAAGCACTTTTCATACAAAAATGTAACACAAAGTGCTTTACACAGATTAAAAACAATCCCACATTGAAATGAAATGAGAAGGTCAATGAGAAGAAACGAGTGTGCTTAACAGCTTTGATTTCCATCCAGTTTGCAGAATGGGTTTGCTTTAAATCTGCATTCTGTAACTTTTCTTGTGGAGGCTTTGCAATCTGCTTGTCTCCATAGTGATGTTATTGTTTTGCTTGGAAAATTCCAGAGTGTTGCATTTATCTTACATTTAGTTATTTACATGTTTTTATACATGCTTACTGAATGCACTTACTCTCAATGCTTTTCTGTGTGAGTGAGGTCACCTCTCCACAGATCTGACCTGTAACTTGACCTGATGGCGTCATCTGCTTGTCTCCATAGTGGAAGAAAAGTTTAATGCTACACTGTGGAACATTCGAGACAAAGCAATAACCAAAGCAACTGATTTTTTTTTTTAAGATCAAAATGACGACAGCTGTGGGCTCTCAGGCTCAACAAGATTTCACCAAAACAAAGTCAGAATCAAATATAAAGTCCCAGTTTAGTCCTGAGTCAGTCCTAGCTTAGTCCTGGTTTAGTCCTGAGTTAGACCTGAGTTAGACCTGAGTTAGACCGTGTTTAGTCCTGGTTTAGTCCTGAGTGAGTCCTGAATTAGACCTGAGTTAGACCTGAGTTAGACCTTGTTTAATCCTGGTTTTACTTCTGAGTTAGACCTGAGTTAGACCTTGTTTAATCCTGGTTTAGTCCTGAGTTAGACCTGAGTTAGACCTTGTTTAATCCTGGTTTAGTTCTGAGTTAGACCTGAGTTAGTCCTGAGTTAGTCCTGAGTTAGACCTGAGTTAGACTTGAGTTAGACCTTGTTTAATCCTGGTTTAGTTCTGAGTTAGACCTGAGTTAGACCTTGTTTAATCCTGGTTTAGTTCTGAGTTAGACCTGAGTTAGTCCTGAGTTAGTCCTGAGTTAGACCTGAGTTAGACTTGAGTTAGACCTTGTTTAATCCTGGTTTAGTCCTGAGTTAGACCTGAGTTAGACCTTGTTTAATCCTGGTTTAGTTCTGATTTAGACCTAAGTTAGTCCTGAGTTAGTCCTGAGTTAGACCTGAATTAGACTTGAGTTAGACCTTGTTTAATCCTGGTTTAGTGCTGAGTTAGTCCTAGTTTAGTCCTGGTTTAGACCTCAGACCTAATTGTAAACATGGTTATGGTTTTTGCAGTTGAACATACTCAGCCCCCAAAACTGCACAATGGTGTGTTTATGTCCACACCTCAAGCCCTGGTCTATTAGTCGCCTCTGAAACCTGGCTCAAGAAATCCAACCGACTCTGACCCTCCCTGGCTGTAATACATACCGCCAAAGGGGGTGGGGTAGCCGTCTATTGTAAAGTAAATTGGCTGTTTGGTTTTAGCATCCAAATCTGTTACAAAGTAATTTGAGCTAATTATGATGAAGATTCCCCTGTCACTGCTACACCACATCCCTCTGCCTCTGTGCTTTTTCTGCAGTTAGTGAGCTGACTGTCACCTCCAAGCTCATTCTGCTGCTGTGCATCTGTAAATATTCTTGTAGTTAGATGCACTTAATTTATCCCAAATTGTAACGAGCCTAACCAAATACAAGATTAAACTTATGAACACCGGGACACTGATTGCTTTATACTGACAGGACTGACAGGTGTGTCTCTGGTGTGTTCGGCCAAAGTCTAAGTCACCATTGCACTAGAGCAGTGGTGTACATCACTGCTGAAAGCCTTGCTATTAAATCTGGACACATTTCAAACACTTGTTTATCCCAATTAAGGACAAATATGCTCCAGTAAGAAAAAATAGAATAAAAAATAGACACAGTCCCTGGTTTAGGCCTGAACTAGCCAATCTTATCCACCAAAAACATCATCTTTGGCAAAAAGGTAAATCTTCAAATAGACATTTTGAGGCAGATCTATAGAGCAATTTGACATAAATCCACACAGGGTATTTAGAAAGACTCAAGTTACTCATTTTGCCAGTAGTACAGATCCAAAGACATTTTGCAGTACATTAAAGTCTATGTAAAACAAGAACACATCCCCTCGTTTGTCTTCAGTAATCAAAACTGACGGTGTAGTTACTGTGTCACTGACAAATCAAAAATCATGGATTATGTGAGCAAACATTTTGCACAGGCTGGTTATTCCTGTTCAGACAAGGACATCAGTTCACCCTCTTCTCATCCACCGCTGACCTCATACCAGTACACAACACCTGGAAGACCTGCCGTCTCTATCCATGCCAGTCCAGAGTCTGAAGTCCTCAGTGAGACACATCTGAATCTACTGGACTTGATTCATTAGAGACTAACAGCAGCTCACATCCCAGCAGCTCCTACCTGTAGTTTATTCAATCTCTCTCTACAAAGACCTTCATTTAAAGGAGGTGACAACTGTAATCTGAACTGCTACAGACTCATTTCTATTCGGCCCTATTTTTCGCAAAATAATTTGAAGGAGTCGTAAACAGGCAACTTATAGTAGATCACCTGGAGTCTCATCATATCTATAACCCTGTGCAGTCTGGGTGTGGGACTAGTCACAGTTGTTTCACTGCTACATTGAAAGTTCTCAGTGATATTGTCTGTGCTACTGACAACAAGGAGTATTATGTGGCTCTTTTTGTCGACCTGGTCAAAGCTTTAAATCTGTGGATCCAAATATTCTGCTGCACAGGTTAAGAGAAACAGGCTTTTCAGACAGGAGCATTGCTTGGTTTAAAACTTTTGCTCCAGGTGCGTACAGTCAGTGAGAGAGGAGGGCCTCCTCTCAGAACCTCTACATCTCCTCAAAGTTCTGCCCCATAGATTTTATCCTTAGCCCCACCCTCTTTAATATCTATATTAACAATATCACACAAGCCACTGGACAATCTCATCTGCATTTATACACAGACCACACTGTCCTTCATGCACACAGAGCTCGTCTTAACACTGGATTCTCCAAGCTCCAATACACTTTCACACTGCTCCAGCACACGCCTCATCTGACCTAACATGGAAAACCAAGAAGACGAAATGTTTAAATGTTTGATCTTTAACAGAAAACCTCCCACAGGCAGAGAGCTTAAACTCACACACACGCACACCCGCACACAGACACACACGCACACGCACACACACACACGCACACACACACACAGCACACACACACAGCACACACACACACGCACACACGCACACACACACACACACACACACACACACACACACACACACACACACACACACACACACACACACACACACACACACACACACACACACACACACACACACACACACACACACACACACACACAGCTCCACTGTGCTCTAACAGCTCCATTAACCTGGTCATTGTAAAGGCCTCACAGCTTTGGGCCCCTCCTCTTTCCTTCACCTTCAACACACTTTGAAACTTGCTTCATTTTAAAAACTCAATCCAAAGTATTTTACAGGATCAGTGCCTATTTGTGTAGATTGTATATTTGTATGTTTGAACTACAGACGTGTTCAAAAGTACTCTGCCTTTTCAGCAGGTCACAAACAATCTGAAAAATACTTTTACTTTTCAGTCCAGTTCAAAATGTGATGGAGTAGAAAGTACAGATACATGCTCTAAATGTACTTCCAAAAATTTATACTTTTGAACAGTACTTTACTTCATTCACTTTGTGATGTTCCACAACAAATTTTAACTTTATATTTCAACTGAATTATCATCCATGAAGTTTACGATTACACATTTACATTTATGATTCCCAGGAAACTTTAAACATTCCCTTGAAAACATTTAAACACAGGCAGTTAAATGTTTGTCACAGTTTAAAATGTGACAACTGCCAAAACACCATCGTAAAAATTTTAACTTGGAACTGACCTCAATTTTTAAAATGTATGAGAAATTTGAGCAAATATTTCAACTATGAAGCAATAACAAAAACACACAATAACCAGAGGGCCTGTCATTTATCATATATCTGTAATTACGGGGCCTATCCAGTAATTGAACAAAAACTGGTACAACCAGTTTTTTTTTATCTAATTTGTTTTGCGGATCCTGCAAGCTGCTTCTTCACTGGGCATCACACGATTTTTTAAGTCCTTTCAAAAAGTGGTGCCATTATTCAACCCCAAAGACGTAAGTGTTTCAGCCGTCAATGTTTTGATCAAGAGCAGAACTGAACTAATCCTGGACTAACATGTGAGCATGGATGCGCTTCAGGCTCCATCGACTAAGCGCCGATTCACTTAGTATTGAAAAACCATCTCCCCTCTCCTCGTCATCCTCGTCATTTTGGTCTTGCTCATATGCTCATATTGACCCTCTCTACGAGATCCTGATGTCTTTATTTCGTAACTAGAGACAAAAAAACTCAGGCGGTGAAATGTTGTGTTGTTTTTTTATTGAAAAGAGTGAGTTGAGTTTGGTTTCCCTGAAGTAGCACTAGCCTTTTGTGACTAAACATTTGGAGGAAGAACAGTGACATATTCCACAGAAAATCACCAAACAAATCAACAGAAACAGACAAAAAAACAAAAAAAACAGCAACAAAAAAAAAAACACTTCCATCCCCAAAATATTACTTCCAATTTATTTATTTTATTTTTTACACAAATTCTGTTGTCTTAGTGATGTAGAGACTGGTTTATTTGTAAAAGTTACTCAGTGGAACTCAACAGTGAAGTCATTTTTACAAACACAATTCTCATCATTTTTTCCCCCAGCAAATTAAATATTACTTTGAGTTTAAAAGTTTGATGGAGGCTACACAGCTACGTGGCAATTATTAGCCTAAGAAAATATATCACCTTATACAAGACCGAACCAAAAATATGAACTCAAGTTTGAAATTTAGCAAATATTTGGCCTTTCTGAGCTTTTTCCTAGAATGTATTGTAAAAGCAGCTACTTGTGAAAAAAAATCATCACCTAAACATTTTACTAAAAGGAATTTGTTGGCTGAGAACCACATAGAAGTAAATGTCAGGGAGTTTTATCCAGTCAGACGTAGTTGCATGAGAACTATTTGGAAGATCTGTTCAGAATAATGTTGTCATGAATAACGACACTAACATTTCAAACTTGATTTCTCACAATGATAACAAAAACACTTTCTTTTAAACAACATAATAACTTTCAATATTAAATTGTAGTACTTTTTTTATTATTCCCATGATGTCTTATATGTGTGTAACACAGTCTTACTCTTGTACTACTTCTACTCTTTCTACGACTCCTGTTTAGGAAAGGTTCATTTCTGTCCAGTCAAGGGAACATTTAGTATAAATTAGTATCTTGTTTCAGTATCAATTAGTATCTACATTTTTGTACTTTTGATACTTCAGAATTGTGTACTGGTCCTTTAAGGTCACTATTACCTCATAATCAAAAAGCCTCTTACAAACTTTTAAATTCACATTTTAATTTTGAAAAGGTTTATGGAGAAAAACTGTTGAGCTCCTTCTTAAATGAGATTTCTGACTGTTTAAAAAGTTGAAAATATTGCAGATTGTTTGAATACATGTAACTGACTGGCCATGTTCAAAATATTAGTAAGATTAGAAATTCACAGATACACAAGTTATGCCCAAGAATGATGTTACACACTGGCCCATTTATTAGGTACACCTGTCATGTTACAGTCACTGGTCAGGTCGAAAGTTTTACGTTAAAATAAGAGAAAACAAATCAAGATTCGACCTGGTTTAATCCTGGTCCAGTCCTGGTTTAGTTCTGATTTAGGACTTGGTTTAGTCCTTGTCAAAAGCTCCAAAATGCTCAGTTCCACCTTGTGATGTAGTTTAAGTGAACTGCTCCTTTTACTTTTAGTTCAGAAGAGATTGGCAAAACCAGGGTTCATTATTAATCCAAACGATTCCAGTGAAGGCATGTGGAGGTTTTTCTTGATGAGGAAACATGATAAAAAAAACTATAAACTATAAAACTATAGTGTTATATGGGCCCTTTAAATGCCAGCTGTAGTTTGGATCAGTTTAGTAGATTTCCAGTCTCTTACTAAACATGAGCAAGTCTCTGCATTACACTTGTATTATGACATGTGTACCTAATAAAGAGGCCGGTCCATAGCCCCATAGACTTTCCAAACATTTCATGGATACATTCAGCTTCTGCAGTTCCAATGGGGTTTTTCTATTGCATTTTTAACATGATCTCTACCCCAGAGCTACACACTACTAACATTACACTTGTGCATTGAAACAACATCGATCACAGTTTGTCATCACATCTTTCTCTGCTCCTCTTCAAGAACCTTCGCAAAAAACAAACAAGAAACATTATTTAAATATTAAAGTCAAATAGAACAGGACACAAAGGAGGAGGCCCAAAGTGTTAAGCTTAAAATACACAATACAGGGTTAGTCTTTAGGGTTAAACAGCCCTTTGCTAAAGTGAGCCTTTAAATACGTATACGCCTCTGACACATTACAAACCCACTTCTACTCAAGTTTCACCAAATTAATTCACGTTTTTCTAACATCTGCATAGTCGTTTTGGATCTTAAAAAAAGTTAAAATTTTAAGTTTTACTTCCATAGTACTGGATACCACCTAATTTCCCTAAGCAGACAGTAAAGTGTCCCTTACTGCATTTATTCAGTCACAAGAGTGATTATTGCCAAAGAAAAACTGGTTTTGTGGTTACCGGCTCATTTCCATGGAAATTTCTAAATGTAATGCTATTCTGTGCAACACACTCCAGGTAAAGCAACTTCATCAGCACAGAGAACAGAAGCTTTCAGACCATCCACCTAAAAACGTACAAACTGTCCCTTTAATGGTCCTACCAGATTTTTCCACATATATTTTGCAAAATACGTGTGTGATTTTATGATCTCACAAGCTGCTTATACAGGAAGTGTGTGTTACCATGTACACACTGGTCGGGTTTTGAAAAGTGCTTATAAACTCATTGTGGTGAATCTTAAATGCATAATGTAAGAGACGAATAACTGAACAACTGCAAAAAACAAAACAAAACAAACAAAAAACAGAACTAGTTGATTTCAAACCTTCACAAAAATCTGCTTTAAGGTCTATTTTGTAATTAACTAAGCTTAACAGACATGAACACCTCTTCAGAAGTCTAACATTATTCACACATACATACATAAAACTGTCTTTAAAATATGAATCATTTTGTAAAACATTGCTATAATAAACACAATAGAATCACTTGAGTAAAAGTGGGCAAGGAAAGTTCCAGAAAGGCTTTTACGTACCATGGTGACAGGAGGATTCTCTCTTCACACAAAACTAAAATCAGACTGATTTTTTAAAATACCTTATAATGACTTAAAATTGTACATCAGAATAACATAGGGTTTACAATAAGGATATGAACAAAGTGAATGGTACTAGAACACTAACGATCCCCCTGGAAGAGCTGGAACACAGCAACAGCCTCATCTACACTTCAAATGACTTGGATTTGCAATATTCATCTGGATTTCAGTGATTTAATACTTGATACTACATTTATTGTCTTGTCTTGAGATGTGGGCTGGTTTTAAAGGTCTTATGTTACACAAACTTGACTCTGAGCTTTGAGCCATGTTTCTGCATCAAAAACAAACCTGGAGTTGTGTTTTGTTTCATTCACACATTTGATTAACTCTTTATTATTCTACATCTCCGAAGCTCAAAATGCTCTGCTCCACCTTGCTCCACATGATATCATAAGGTGGTGTTTTCTGCTTGAGAGAAGAACACAGTCTAAATCTGCAGGGTTTGAATGAAACAAAATACAACACCAGGTCTGTTTTTGACTGTGTAATATGGACACTTTCACGTATTTTCTTATTTTATCTTGAGTTACAATTTAAATACGTCTTCTTAGGACTAAATCGATAAATGGAACTAAAATCGAGATTAATATATTGAATGCAAGTCATTTTAAACATGTCGACGTTCTTGTGTGGTTTTATAGGTAGGGATATTGAGATATGCGTCTGGGGCTTAGCTGGTAGGCTGTGTAGGCTTCAGAGCTCATGTACGAAGATCCAGAGGCAAACTGGTGCTGGTAAGGGGGGAGAGCGGGATGCAGCAGCCCACTGACGGACTCTTTTCTCTGGGTAGAGTCTCTCCGGGAGGTGGGTGCGGAGCCGGAGGTGCTGGAGGTAAGAAGGTGGTCGAAGGCTTGCGAGGCCGAGGAGAGGGCACTGGAGGCGGGGTAGGAGTAGAGAGAGGCCCCTGAGCTGGTGGAGGTCAGAGCGGAGACATCGGGGAAGGAGAAGTGAGAAGAAGGGAAGGCGCGAAGGAGAGATTGGTCAGAGAGAGAAGACGGGTCCTGGGAGGAGGAGACCACCGACTGCGCCTGAGAGGGAGAGGAGAGAGAATGATGATAAAGGTTAATACACAACAAAAATGGTAGTCTGACCAACCAAGACAACATTTACAAACTATAGAGGTGACCACACACATGCTTCTTTCCTAGTGATGGGCAAATGAGTCAGAGCTCCGGAGCACGTCTCGTTCTTTCTGAAACAAATTGCTCTGAAGCACTGCCTCGGAGCTCGTCTCGCAGCAGCCACTCACGTGACCAAAGTGTGGAAGTGTCGGTCCCTCCCCCTACTGCTTCACTCTGCGTGTCAATCGCTTCAGTGTATCAAAGCGTTTCATTGGCTCAGCGAATGTTCCGCTCTGTGATTGGTTCACAGCATGGATCTATGGTTCAGAGTGCTTCAGATTGTTCAGTGGACTTCCGTGGTTTGACAAGTGCTAAACTGCTACAGTATAAAAGATGCACCAGTATTTCTTAAAAATGTTGGTAGTGAGGAGTATTGTGTGACGTTAGTGATGATTTTGGTGACGTTTGGCGACTTTTGGCATTTGTGTCATTTTCGATGGCATCTACAAGTGGAAAAAAGCGATCCATGGTTTGGGATCACTTTGATCTAATTCCACCTAACAAGGTCACCTATTTTCTTATTTACAGCATGCTATTTATGTTGCTCTTTACATATTATTTTAAATCCATCCATCCATTTTCGTCCACTTATCCGGGGCCGGGTAGCGGGGGCAGCAGCCTAAGCAGGGACTCCCAGACTTCCCTCATCCCAGACATGTCCTCCAGCTCCTCCGGGGGAATCCCGAGGCGTTCCCAGGCCAGCCCAGAGACATAGTCCCTCCAGCGTGTCCTGGGTCTTCCCTGGGGCCTCCTCCCAGTGGGACATGCCCGGAACACCTCCCGAGGGAGGCGCCCAGGAGGCATCCGGAACAGATGCCCGAGCCACCTCAACTGGCTCCTCTCGACGTGGAGGAGCAGCATTATTTTAAATCATCATTATTATAGTTGTTGTTAGGTACGGTGTATGCTCTGCACACAAGTATTGTTAAATTTGTCCACTAGAGGTCAGTGTTTCTCCGAGGCCTCAGACACGTTGAACCATTTGAGACAATATTGTGACTGAGGTGTCAACGCTTCACGAGGCTCCATTCGCCCATCACTATTATTTCCCGTGCCCATCTCATTGGCGTGAGGAGTAGAGTCTCACCTCCACCACACTGACTCACTGCACTTCAAATCCAAACTCAACACACCTATTCAGACTGACCTACTCACTCCACCACACCACCAGACCACAGCTACTCCGTCCTGCTTTTAACCGTTTTTACTGCATTTAACTGTGTTCTAGAATAACACTGTGGATTCATTTCTTGTTTTAAGGCAAACTTGAAGGTCTAGAAAGATGTCTAATAAATAAATAGCATTATTATCTGTATTATTATAGTTAGAGTGAAGGCAACTAGAGATGTGATTGGCTGAGGTGAGGGGGGCGGGGCTTACCTGGCTGAGGTTAAGTGGATGTGATTGGCTGGGTGGCACTCCTCTGTGTCTGTCGGACTCGGCGCTGCAGGACTGATGACTTGAGCGCTTCGTCTTTATGTTTCCTGAAGCACCAACCATAAGACATGAGGCTTCAGCAGACATTACAAACACAGACCATCTCAAACAGTGAGAATATCATGAAAAAGTCAATCCGTATATTAGACACAAAGAAAAACTTTCAAGCTTCACTCTACAATGACTACTCCTTTGCGTTTAGGTATTTAGACCATTGATACTTCTGCTTCTTCAAAGGTCTAAACTTTGCTGAACTGATTTTGCAGATTTCTGTTGTAATAAAGTGAGTTCTTGGGACTACTCACTGATGGAAATGATCAGATTCAACATTTGTGAATTTACCTTTGGGGTATTTCATGGTTAAGTACAATATAATTGATAAGGAAAACTGTCTCTGCCATCTAGGAGTCTGACATCACATTCTAGAATCTGAAACATCATTTTTGCAAGCTTTTCTATTTACAGTGTTATAGTGACTGGTCAAACTGGCCCTTACCTGCTGGCCGGGTCACTGCAGTCTCTGTGCTCTGGGTCTTCACTGCAGATGTGAGCAGAGCCAGGCCTTTGTGGTGTCGAGAGGAGAGGGGGAGGGAGGGGAGAGCGGAGCGGGGCAGAGAGGGGAGGGAGGTGCGAGGGAGGGGGGTGAGGGGGCTGGCATTAGAAGAGTCCGAGTCATGGACAGTCACACAGCTGATGACATTGGTTCTCTGGCTCAAACCCACACTGGAGGAAAGAGAAAAACACAGGTTAGAATATGTCTAAACCAGGTCTAAACCAAAATGGCAACGATCCCAGGGTTTAAGTGAGGTTAAAGTTAACAGTTCAAAACAAAATGTCTTTTGGTCAAAACGATGCCAATAATAATAATAATAATAATAATAATGATAATAATAATAATAATACTTGTGTAGTGCTTTTCGTGACACTCAAAGATGCTTCACATAGATCAAGACAGATGTGGGTAGAGTGCAGTAGTGTCTTGCTAAAGAGCACAGCAGTAAAATGCAGATGTGTGTGAGTTCTAACCTGGCGGGGTGGAACTTCCGCTCATCTTCTGTGTCGGTGTCGCTGTGGATGGTGATGATGCTGACTGCGGGGCTGGGGGTGTCTGAGATGATGATTGGCTGAGACAGGGCGGAGGAGGAGGGACTTACGACGCTGGAGCTGAGGAGGGAGGCAGCCACCAGACCCCTGAGAGACAAGTGACAAATGACATGACTGCACAATCATGTTCACCAGTCTCTGCATGTAAACATTACTCCACAGTTCCCTCTAAGTCTATAGAGGACATGTGTCTGGGCTAGTATGTTTTCAAGTACGCTGAAAACTGGTACATTTCAAGTGTTTGACATCAAGAATGAAGAAATCTGAACTTTCTGTGAAATTCACAGTGTGTCCAAATGCTTCAGGCTCTGCTCTTTGATGCCAATTTTATGGCATCAATCATTTAAAAGTATCTGTAGTAGCAGTAGTAGCATGAGTATCTGCAGCAGTAGCTGTAGCAGCGGTACAAACCTGTTCCTATTCTCTCCTCGTCGGGCCTTCACCTTCTTTCTCTCCTGAGTCTTAGTCTGAGTCGTGCTTCTGGAAAATACAAAAGTCATCATCACAATGTACATAAAATCGTCATTAATCGGCAAGTGATACTTCACAGCTGATGTCATCAACATTCAATAGGTGTGTGCTGCTATCTGTATGTACTGCTCTGTTTGAAACTAGTCATCAGACTTTAAGATTTGTTTTAACACAAACAGTCCATAAAGAAATGACTTAGTTGGAACTACAACAGGTGATCAGAGTTGTTCTGTTAAAAAAGTCCCTCTGAAATAACTCTGCCTCTCACCTTTTTGTTGTAAATCGAACAACCATGAAAGCCCATACTGATCACAGGCTCCTGTATGTACTGTACTTCTCTTATCAGGCAGTGTTTGCTGATATCTGCACTGTGTCACCATCAGCAAACACGGAATTCCACTATACACATACATGTAGAACACCCCAAGCATGATGTCGCTGCAAAGTATAGACTAAATGGATGTCCCTCACCTCCAGCTGTGAGCCTGTGCTGCCCCCTCCTGGTGCAGAGGGGAGTGGTCCTGGTTAAGGGTGCCTTGATGGGAGGCTGAGTGTAGCGCCATCCCAGAGACCTGCTGCCATGTGGAGGGGATGAGGATCTGCTGAGCCCCTGACGGCCACGCCTGCTGTAGAAACACACAGAAACACTGTGAACTTAAAGCAGACATGTTCCAGAGCAGAGCAGAGAGAAAAGAAGCCAGCCGCACACAGCCAAAAGCAGCTCAAAGCACTGAAACGGATCCAGGGGGACACCATGCAAAGATCAGCCTGTACTGTGAAGAGAAGAGGGGGCAGAGGGGGACAGAGGAGCGGCCTGATATGGGTCCGTTGTGGTTTGATCAAATGAGAGCTACAGCAGCAAAGATGGTAAAATGATGGTATAACATTTTATTTGAGAATTGGTCCAGAAGTGTAGTCCAAATCATACTTTGTATGTCTTATATGGAAGATAACTGGAGAAATTCAGATGCATTTAAAATGAAAAATCTGATGACACACTTGTAGTATAGTTTTTCAATGTGTTTAAAAATTCACCTTTGAAACTTCAATTGATAGTTGGCATGCATTTTTTGGGAGTCAGAATAATGAAATGTAAAAGTGGACAAAGTTTAAATATTCTTAAATAAACATAATTTTAAATGCAATCTGTAGAACTTGTTCAGCTATTTATATATCTTTTGTTTGCTGTGTTAAAAATAAACACGCACAAAAATGAGGTCTTGAGAGCGCCTCCAGTCTGTATAGTTAATCTTTACTACAGTGTTTGTGATTACTGACTGTCCTATTCATATTGACCCATAATGCACCGCTCCACTGGACCCTGTTACAGACGGAGCTCAGATGAGACTGGGCAGGCTGCACTGTGAGAGAGGAGCCTGAAGGAGGCGCTCTGAGTCTTCAGTTGAAAAACCAAACAAAAGAAAGAGCAGAATAAAATCAGCTCAAGCCAAATGCCCATGCTCTATGCCAAGTCTGGGAGGGCATCTGGTGTAAACGTCATCAGCCCCCACACTCTATGCCTCAAGTCTGTCAGTGCATCAGGTGTAATTGTCACCAGCCCTGCTCCATGCCTCTACCTAATCACCCCATGAGTCAGCTAAAACTTGGGAGGGCATCTGGTGCAAGGGACAGCTGAAGCACAAGTCATGAGTTTTTTCCAATTTGCTCCTCATCTGGACTCTCAGAACACATGTTTGAGCTCATCCTACAGTGGATTCAAAGGCTGCTTTCTACAGTTCAAACAGACGTAAGAGCAGAATGCCAGCCATGCCTTCATCCATCTGCCCCAGGGCAACTGTGGCACCGTAGTAACTGACCAACAAAAGTGCCACTGAGATGGGAAGAAAAACAATTACTTTAAAGCCAATCCCACAGTTAGAAAAGCAAACCAGACCAATAAGTTAAAATCAAAGTTATTTTACTTTAAGATGAAGCAGATTTCAGGTGACACATATTCCAACTAACATACCTTTGACCTGGTCATTTTAGATTTGATAGGACAGAGTGAAAGCTGACTACTAGCTTTGTTAGTAGGTTGTGGCATGAAGAAAATTGTGGAATAACACTGGCATTTAGACAGGAGTATGACTGAAGTAAAAAATTGCCTCGCCTCGACGGTGTAAGGTAATATGACATCAATGATCCCTGATTATCAATGCTTAGAATAATCAGATCAGATCAAAAATATTCAGCAACTTTTCATTAAAGCCCTTATATTACACAAAACTGTCTACTGTGATCTTTAAGCCTTGTTAGAATGTTGTTACATCCCCAAAAACAGACCTGGAATTATGTTTTGTTTCATTCACAGATGTTTGAGTAACTCTTTATCATTCGTCTGTCTACATCTCCAAAGCTCATAATGCTCTGTTCCAACTTGTGATGTGATGAAGCAGTAGTTTTCAAGTTAAAAGGCATCTTTTTACCTTTAATTCGGTAGAGATTGGCAATTCCAGGGTTGAAATTAACCAAATTATTCTAGTGAAGGTGTATGGCATTTAAACACACAGTGGAGCACTTCCTGTATTATTAAATGACATCACAAGATGGAACAGAGCATTTCAGTTTGAGAGAAAAATAAAATATGCAGGATTTGTGTGTTAAACATATGTGAATGAATGTCTGTAATGAGAAAACATTATTACAGGTCAGAAAACCGTGTAATAAGGGCACTTTAAATACGATGGAAAAAGCGAAAGCACTGGGATGAGAGAGAAGGCAAGTGACATTTTGACAAAATCTGAAATTGGACTGGGAAAAAAATACTTTTTACTCAAAATAAATATTTGTGAATGTTTTATAATATTTTGGCAATGTATATTTCTCATTTTAAGTTTTCTAAATGTTCCCAATGTCACTTGTGCCTTCCTGTCCCTCTAAAGCAGATGCAGCAGACAGGAGCAGACAGGAGCAGACAGGAGCAGACAGAGCAGACAGGAGCAGACAGGAGCAGACAGGAGCAGACAGGAGCAGAGGAGAAACGCAGTTAGTGAGGGCAGAGAGAGCATCTTTATTGGAGACTGTTGAGGTTTTACCAGCACTGTGGCTGTGTGCTCCAGTAGGGGGCGCCCCAGAGGCAGAGAGTACTGGGGGCCCAGGCCTGCGGAGGGGGGGTGGAGGGTGGCTACCATCAGAGGTGTACAGGAGCCCTAGGAGGTAGGACGGAGGAGTTAGGAGCTAGGGGCTAGGAAAGGACTCATACAGAGACAACATAGACGTGGCCCAAAGTGATATTTAGCATCCTTGACTTCAAAAAAATATATATAAATAAATAAATAATAATTATATAACCAAGACTAAACTAGACCAGGACTAATGTTAATGACCCTGGACCTCAGGCAAATGAGGTTTTTGATCAGCAAGTTCGATAATCTGTAACTTATTGTTATTTTTTTCCATATATTTGCTCCAGTATATACAGCTCTTGAGGTCAAAGCAAGTCAGCATGCTAGTTGGTAGTCAACACTTTTATTCAGCTGGATTAAAACTGAAAATCATTTGCTTGCACATAAGATTACCGCAAATAAAAAAAGAAATATTTTCTACAAAAGTCCTGAATGAGTAATAATAAGGACTAGAAGTAAACCAGAGTGTAGTCAAGGATGTAAAATATCAGTTTTCACTAAATTATCAGAAATGTTCAAATGTCTTCATGGATGCTTCTTTGTGCTGAGATCGCCACCTGCTGCTGATGTCAGGGAAATGCCACACACTACAGTCTGACAATTCTTCCTGGACACAGTTGTGTTTAAATCAGGTCAGGGGCAAAGACAACAGTTCACGCCATTAAACAGGAAACTCAAATGTAAAATGCAAATGGTGTTAAGTCAGATCATTTCTTCAATAGGTTCAAACTTCAATTATCTGATTAAATTATGCAAATAATCCATTTACTATCTAATAACATACACATGTAGAGTTAGAGCATCGTACTTGTGTGTGTTTATGTGTGAGTGTGCGTCGTACCTGTGTGAGCATGCCGGGCTGTAGCTGCAGAGACTGGGCTGACTGGTTTGGAGGGACCAGAGGGACGGAGCTCTCCATTCGCACTGGGAAAGAGGAGGACTTAGATGATGACTGCAGCCCTGAGGAAAAACAAACAGATAAAGTATTAAAAAGAAGAACAGAAGAAAAGTTCAAACACAACTTACAATACTGTGCAGGAAAATATCAGCTTTGTCCAACAGAGCAGTGAAGTGTAATCCATCAGCTGACTGAAAACATCCTACGATTTCTTCTTCTTTTTTTTTTTTTTTTTTTTTTTAGCAACGACACATGTCACTTTAAAAAGTGACTGCATTTGTATAAAGGTAGCAAGGTCATAAGCATGGATCTATTAACAGTGAAGAAAGTGTACGAAGAGGAAAAAGAGACTAAGTTAGCGCCAGCAGTGACCGGCAGTGAGTGAGACATACACACTGGTAATCCTTTGTTAAGAAAATGTGGAAAAAAATGTAGATTATTACTATATTATTTAAATATTTGTATTTATCTATATTTGATATAGTTTGTGATTAAACATACACTTTTGTCATGGTCTCCTGTAGCTTTGTTTCTGGTGGGACCCCAAAGTGACCTCACTTAACTCTACAGGGCTGTACAATAAATCACACTAGAATTTCAAGTAGGGCTGTCGCGGTTAGAGAATTTCTCCTGCAGTGCAGTATAGCAGCTCAAAACTGTGGTATGCGATGATACTGCACCCTCACCTCCACCCCCCATCCCCCGGAGTCACAATATTTCCAGCAGCACTGAAAACTCTCTAATGATGCGCTTGTTGTGCAGATGCAGATCCACATGCGCCGTGGTTGGCGTGTGGATATAGTGTGTGTAGTGTGAGAGAAGTAACATTTGGCTTTGGAACAAGTGTCGCTGCATCTCTCCAGCTCTCACTGTGGCAGCTCGGGTCAGAGTCCTGCACCAGGTCGGGTAACCGTGGACTTGAGAGCACGCAGAGCAGGGTTTCGGTCTGTGTGTGCACAGTCAACACGTGCACACCTTAGTCCTGGGTTAGTCCTGTGCAGGACTCTGGCTCGGGTCACGTTGGTCACGTGCGGTGATCGCGGTGGTCCAACATGCACCGGGTGGGCCTTTTAGTACTGCTGTGATTCATTTTTGCGGTTATTGCGACAGCCCTACTTTCAAGTCCAGTTGGGACATGGACTTAGCCACAGGAGTGCAGCAATACCACTTTCTACCCATATGACTAGGGATGGGCATTCGATGAAACTTTCTTAATCGATCGTCGGAAGAATTAACGACCGATTATCGATTAATCATTAACGTTTTTATATTAAAATTATCATCATCATTATTACTATCTGCACTACTAATCTGCATAAATAAATTTTACTTTACGACATATAAACCGTAACCACATTAGAGCCACATTAGCCCGTTTTAGATTATAATGTATTTTTCAGTTTTGCGCAACTCTCACAGAAACGAAACTTAAAACCGCATCGCTAATTTGCATAAACTAAGCGAAGATAAAACTACAGCTCTTGTGTCGCTGATGCGGTTCAACTTCTGTTGGATTAAAAGACATGACTCAGTGGAATACAGGTTAGTGTGACCATATTTGTGTTTGTTAAAACCAGGACACCGTACGGGGGGCGGGAGGTGGGGACTCATCATCGACATTGCGCTACTCTCACCTGGTAAAGCTTTTTCCCACTGGACACCAAAACATATGTGCTGCTTTGTGCACATGGACTCACACTTGTCCCGAACAGAACGGAAAGCGTGGACTTTCTTGTACAAATCATCATTGCACTTCAGTACGTTGCAGGCTGCTCGCTCCTTCTGAGTGCAGAGAGCTACATGTTCGGACCCCTGTTTGGTCACACTACGCACAGCAACCTACATTCGGTTTGTCGATTAAAATGAATGTAATCGATGAAATTCTTAATGATCAATTATCGATTAATCGACTAATCAGGCCCATCCCCACATATGACTATTGTTATTTTTATTAACCTCTTTTCACTGTAATTTTCATTTAATTTATGGACAATATACTTGATACAAATTTCTATTATATGATCGTTAGAATACACACAAAGAATAGAACATTCTTAAAGTGCAGGCCACTGATGTTATCCAGCAAACTGCAAACTGTATTTTGAATAAAAAGTATAGTATTTTGTTGGTGGTGATTTGACACTGACATCTCTCTGCAGACAGATCCAGTGCAAACCTCCACCTTCTCTCTATGCTCCTAATGACACAGCACCACCACAAGGGGGGGCTGCAACGCCTCAAGGAGCAACTCAACACTGAATTCATCTTTGCATAATGTAAACATTGCAAAATATGATCTAAAAGAATCAAAATAATAATGAAAACAGTCGATATTGCTGTGTAGTGGGTTTGAGCTGAAACAGAATCATGCAGTGTGAAGCTATCCAAAAATCATTTATGGTGAAATTTCTGTACTACAACTCATTTACTTTATATTCAGTGGCTCAACCAAGACACTGGCAGCACAGGCTGCGACCTCCTGATGGGGGAAGGGGGGGGTAGTAACAGCAGCTGTGTTGTAGTACCTTGTATAGAGGATTGGGGGCACACAGAGTCTGCTGGAAAGGCTGCGATTGGCTGCACATTGCGCTGCCTCATGAGGGGAGGGGTTGTGTGGCAGTTGTGCAATAGTAGTTGTAGTAGTTTCAGTATTAGTAGTTATAGCACCTTGAACAGAAGAGGGGGTTGTGTACTAGTTGCAATAAGTATTAGCAGTAACTGTGCTGTAGTACCATGTATAGATGAGGGTGTTTAGTAGTGTTTTAGTTCCTTGTATGGAAGAGGGGGGTTGTGTAGTAATATTGGGGTAGTATTAGTAGTCTTGTACCTTGTAGAGAGGAGGGGGGGCACACGATGAGCGTCTGCTGGAAGGGCTCTGATTGGCTGCACAGTGCGCTGGTCCGTGAGGGGAGGGGAACACTCTGTTGAAGTCCTGGGATGTTTATTGTGGCCTGTTGGTACAGAGCCGGCTGGTAGTTCAGCAAAGGCACAGCGCCCCCTGCTGAAGGCACCTGTGAACACAGACATCACACACCAGGGAAAAGCCATAAGTTATACTATGTTATGTGTAATCACTTTGTTATACAGGCAAAATAACCTAAATCACTTGCTGAAACTGGTTTTAAGTGGAAGAATTCAAATTGGTATGAGAAGAGAATTTATATTTACACTAGAGGAGATGTTTTAAATGAAAAACTATTTATGAGGTACAGAAGAGTATCAAGTTGTGTAGAAAGCGTCTTCTTCAGAGCCATCATTGGAATTATGTTTTGTACAACACTCGAACCTCAACTATGAATTTGGCAAATTTTAGCACATTTCTCACATGTTGTCATTGGAAAAAACCTAAAAAAATGTAAACACTGTTGTGTCAACATTGCCCATCCCTAGTTAGTGTTAGATTATTGGTTATGCTAGTAGAAGTCCCTTGGTTATGATAGTTTGTTTGGTAATGACAGTTACCCGGAATTTATACCAGGAGCTACTTAACGTAAGCAGAGCTGCAGATGTGCATATTTTTAAAAGCGTCAAAGTACACCAGAGGCAATAGCCTCTGTGTATTCTCATGTTTAAACACCACATTGTTTTCTATTGCTTATATATTCATTGTTGACTGGATGAATTACGTTTTAAATCACTACAAAAGTTGGCAACAAGATAACAAGCTGTATCAGCGTTGCTTGCATTAATTAAACTACTACCATTTCACTTTGACTATCTGCAGCAGAGGTCTTTTCTTTCAGAAGCTGTTGTAAAGTTGCTGTTTCACATCATAAAGTGTTTTATATTCATCCTCTGCAGCTGTAAACTTTCCATAGTCCATCACGAGTCATTCCCTGAGCTCCTCGTGCCACACATGGTCTTTACGCGACTAGTGGATTTAGAGATATATTTTGAAAGAACATAGGTAGTTTATTTTGACACCATATTCTTTTTTCCTGTCTTACCCCTGTTAAAACTCTGGAGACACTCCAGTGATGCTGAAAAATTAGAACTCCAACTTAGTTTGAGGGGTGTGTAGCATAATGACACTGCTGGTGCAGATTGTGTGACCGGTTCAAATGAAGAGCGCCTGTGCATATGCTACAAAGCTGCGCTGATACCACTTTGGTGTAAACTGGGGGTTAGGCTCATGCCTAGTTATGCTGACTAAGCTGAGGCTGGTTTTAGAGTTATTATACCTACATATGCTAGTTTAGGACTCTCCTAGTTATGCTGGTTGAGTTGGACTTGTTTTATAGTGTCTGATAGTTAAACTGGTTAGGATCATACCTGGTTATGCTGGTTGAGTTGGCTGCTGAAGGTCACTGTGAGGTTGCCCGCAGCAGCACTGGGCACATTTGTGGAGTACAGAGATTTACTGGTGTCGTAGGAGGTTCTTCTTTTACAGATCTCCATGTTCTGGAAGCACGACTTTACACTGGAGACAGAAAATACAACTGTTAATATGAATATCAAAAATTTTATTGTGAAATGCATAGTGCAACAAGTGGGTATGAAATCAATCTGTGATTTATATAACTGCAAATTAAACTATAAATACTTATATAAAAACATAATCACAAAAACATACTCATTTACTAGCTTTCAGTGCATAAATCCCATTGTAATTTGCCACATGTCAAAGAGTGTAAAACTGACTGTGAGCTGTGTGGGTAGTCCATCAGGTGGCTCATAGTGACAAAGGGGTGTCCCAGGGTTTTGGTGGGAGTGATTCTTTTGTCTGCATCCAGTCGGAGCATCCTCTTCAGCAGGTCTATAAACTCTCTCCGGTCTGCCTTCTCCGCCAGCATGTCTGTGCCCTCCAGATGAGACGACAGGTTCACCTGACAATTGCAAACACACAAAGGCAACAGAAAATATACAAAGTAAAAAGTACTGCTCAAAAAATTAAAGGAAAACTTTGAAATAACATTAGCGCTCAATGTGATTTATTTTTTTTTAAATTCTGGATATCATTCTGGATATCTATACAAATATGGACATGGCAATGTCTTAAGAACAAAATGATGCCACTTCTTTTAAGGGAAACAACATTTTCAGAAACTCAAAATGCTTCTCAGTATTTTGTGTGGCTCCCGCATTTTTGACAATGTCAAACTAATGAGACAACGATGGTGTTTTGAAGGATGTTCTCCCTGATCTGTGTAAGGGCATCACTGAGCTCCTGTAGAGTCTGAGGAGCAACCAGACAGCGTCTGATGGACCCAAACATTTCCCAGAGGTGTTCTATCAGGTTTAAATCAGGTGATCGTGAGGGCCATTCAGTTGTATCAGTCCTATCATCTTCCAGCTTCTGCCTGCAGACTCTTGTCACATTGACACTGTGCATTGTCATGTATCAGGAGGAACCCAGGCCCTACTGCATCAGCATAGGGTCTGACAATGGTTTAAAGATTTCACTCTGATACCTAATGGCAGTCAGACTGCTGGTTTCTAACGTACAGAAGTCTGTGTCCCCCTCCATGGATCTGCCCCCTCAGACCATCACTGACCCACCAAACAGCTCATCCTGAACCATGTTGCAGACAGCAGAGTGTTCTCTTTGTCTTTTCCAGACTCTTGCTCAGGGTGAACCTGCTATCATCTGTGAAAAGCACAGGGCACCTTTGGTGGACCATTCTGGTGTAGTCTAGCAAATGCCAGTGGAGCTTCACTGTGCTGGATCTGTTTGTGATTGTTTGGGCAGACAGTCACACCAGCAGCCTGCTGGAAGTCATTCTGTAGGGCACGAGAAGTGCTCAACATGTTCCTCCTTACACAAAGGAGACAGGTATCGGTCTTGCTGATGAGTTGAGGAACTTCTATGTTCCTGTTCAGCTCTCATAGGGTAACAGCCCTAAAAATCTCCATGTTCTGGAGACGTATAATAACTCCTTGCAAATGGATGTACCATGCTCTGGATGTACCATCCTGGAGAAGTTGGACAATCTGTGCAGCTTCTGTAGGGTTAAGAAATACTCCCAGTAGAGATAATCACTGTAGCCAAAGCAGTACTAGTGGAAAACCATCCTAAAAGACCTTGAAAAGACCTCCACATGCACAGCCAGTCCTGTTTTAGGGGTTGTCTCATTGTTGCCGCTCTAGTGCATCTACTGTTCATTTCCATTAAAAGAGGAGCATCCGGCATAATATGAATGTTTTTTTACATTCATATTATGATACATGTAGTGCAATAGGCTACATGTGGGCAACCATTGAGCACTATCCTGTGTTTATTTGGTCATTTAATCGCTTAGTACTACAGTCAGAAAGAGCTGAATTACTTTTTTATTGTCTTGAAATCATAAGCCTGTCCAGGAGCAGTAATATTTGAGGAACAACTGAAATCTGAACTTTCCCAATAAAAGAAAAGACTATGGTGGCTCCCCCATAATTTTGCCCCATAAATCTAAACAAAAAAATAGTTTTTTAATATTGTTATACAGTAAACATAAGTATAAATCTGTCATATTTTTTCAATACATTAAACCTGATTATTGAAATATACTGAACTATTGAACTGCTAAGCCAATGCATGAGTCTCATGCATTTCAGGAAATGTTTGTAGAGGTCCAACCATTTTCTTTCACACTCCAGTGTCCCCTAATTTACTATATTAATGTATTGTTAATTATTACCATTTAATTTTTACGCACGAAACACACCTGCATCATGTCGTCGAGACAGTTGAAAATGTACTTTCTGGCTTCTTTGGATTTGATGCCCATCTCCATCTCGTGCTCAGCTGGGGTCTGAAGGACAGTAAAACACAACTTGGTGAAAAAGTGAGAAACACAAGAACAAATTAAAAAAAAATAAAAAATGTGTCAGATGGAGAAGACATATCGAGTGGTTCAGAATGAGCAGGAAGCAGATAAGATCAGAACACGCCCTCACCTTAAGTCTCCACAGGGGGTAGCTGGAGTCTGTGCCTCTGTTGAAGAAGCGGCTGGTTTTGGTGCCTGCGCTCAGGAGGTACTCCGCTGGAAGGCCCTGGGTCTGAGAGATGTACCGGATCTACACACAAACACAAAAGGCTTTTAAGATAATGAACAATCTTCTGGTGTTTTGATACATCCATGGTCCAGCAAAACTAAACCACAACGTTGTTTTCAGTTCCAATTCATCCCTTATGACCACTAGTGGGCGGTGTGCATGTGCAAAGGAACATTAAGTGCTTTCAGTTCCATTGCATTTGTAGCAGCCAAAATGCACCTCCGGCCACTGTGTGGCACTGTGTCTTTGTTTTCTGTGGGTTGCTGCCTATTTAAGACCATTAATTAGCGATGCCAGGTATTACAAATTGATGAGGAACAGTCTTTTGACCATGTTCAAAGCTCATGCTAAAATAAAGGAATATTTGAGCTTTTACTGGACTTTTGGGCTCATTTATATGGAAACATGCGTCAGAACTACCTTTTAAAATTTGCATCCTAGTGGCTTGTGTGGCATAGGGCCACACTGCCCCTACAGCATTAGTATGTTTGGTTGTGTTACGGCTGAGTGACTGACCTGGTCATACTCTGAGGCTCCAGGATATAAAGGCCAGCCCAGAAACAGCTCTGCGATCACACAGCCCAGGGACCACATGTCTATGGCCTCACAGAAAGGTAGGCCCAGGATGATCTCTGGAGCTCTGAAAACACAAACACTTATAACTACTACTGTACAAGGAAGGGGCTTTGGACCTGGCAACTGGTAGATGGGTTGTGTTACAGAATCATTTCATTCTAGAATGCAATGCCAGTGAATGAGAAGTAGATCGGTGCTTCATCTGAGTTTAATGTCATCTGGGCATTGTCAGGTTATCCCCAGGTTTGACTATCCCAAATTTAAGACTTTTAAAAAGACCTTTTTAAGACCATTTAAATGAAAATTAATACCAACATCGCACCTATTATGCGGGTAAAAAACACCCGATCCAATACTAATAAACACCAACCAAAGACTTTATCTAGAACAGGGGTACCCACATTTTTTCAGCATGCGAGCTACTTATAAAATCACAGGGGTAAAATGATCGACCTACTACAAAGCCAAGCAAACTGTACTGCACTTAAACACTTTGTGCCTCTTTTTTGGAACCTCACCCTCAGTTTGAGGACTCCTTCTTTAAGAGAACTTTCACTGGCACTTTACACAAAACTGTGAAAAAAGTGAAGAGAGTGGGTAGGATTTTAAAATCAGTTTTTCCAAGTTCCTAAGTGGAGTTACATTCTCTTACTGGTGTTGCAGTGGGATTTAGCCTCTGCACATTTACCAAACGCATCGCAAAACACATCATGACAAACACAGATGCATTTGTGCACTTTTATTAGGCAAACTTCAGCCACATGTCGCGGTAGACCTGCTCTGTGCTGTAGGCATCCTCTGTGACAACCCTGTAACATACATTTAGATGAGTTTTTGCTTCGCGCTTCGTCTGGCTCTTCTAATCAGCACATTGTGGAAGGAGCCTGTGTGCGCTGTACACGAGGAGGAGCGAGAGAGTGAAAAGGTGAGGAGCGGCGTGCTGATCTGAGGCAGGTGGACAGGTAGGATGTTTTAAAAAAGTTTAACCTGCCCTGTGATACACGCTGGTGCACGAGGGCATATGCTGTTGCGGACAAGCCACGGGCAGGGAGCGTGTGTGTTTGTGATGTGCCGCTCATTATCCACAGGTTCCAAAAGAGAGCACATGTTACAGAGACGCCCTGCACACCACTGCACGCTCCTGCACACGAGCCGTAATATGAGTTGTTGAGTGTCAGACCTTGAGTGACAGACATGGCAGAGTACAAATGCGATTGAGTCTGAGACAAGTACTACGACACTGCGATCTACCCACACTACATTGGCGATAGAATAGTAGATCGCAATCGACGTATCTGGCACCACTGATGTAGAATCTAAGAGCCAGTGTGGATAAAACTTACACTTCCCCATGATCCATCCAACATCTTCCTCCACTCTGATGGTTTACTCATTGCCACCGTTATCCGGAAGTATTGTTTGCGCATACTCCAAATTAGACGTTCATTCACGTTACGTGATTTCAATTTTTTTTTTCCTCCCTCCGTTTAACAACGCATCACAGCGAAAAAAAAATAAATAAAAAATAAAAAATGGGCTAATGAAATTTAAGACCTTTGTGAAAAAAATAAGACTTTGACAACAGTATTTAAGACTTTTGAAGGCCTTAATTTAGGAACATGAAATTTAAGACTTTTAAGACCCCACGGCTACGCTGTACAATTCTAATCTGCTGCCTGCACTGACCTGTAGTACCGCGACTGCAGATAGGTGGAGCACACCGCTTTGGACACATGACTCGCTGATCCAAAATCAATAACCTTCACCCGGTACGGCTGCCTCAGAGGGTCAACAAGCATTATGTTCTCTGGCTTTAAGTCTGCATGGATCAAACCAAGGCTCTTCAACTTCATCAGTGCTGTGGCCACCTGGAGAAAGAGATGAGGAGAGGGTCAGAGGAGCAGAGCAGAAGGTCGAAGAAGCAGGGGAGAAGAGTCAGAGGAGCAAAGGAGAGTCAGAGGAGAGGAGAGCAGAGGATTTGCCTGACCAGCCAGTCCCTTCTACATTCTGTGTGAATCCCGAAGAGTCTGGGGATGGGACCAAGCCTGACAAACTGTTGTCCAAATGTGACTGTACAACCATAGCTGCTAATTTCTATCATGTGTCTCAAATGTGGATGACACTTCCTCTTGAAAATACTCATATCATTCAGAACAACATATATAACTTCTTTTACCTAAGATAAGTAATAGTTTGGAGCTTCCATTGTTGATTCTGACCATTGTATTATTTTTTTTCTCCTTTTTTACATGTAAACAGCCATTGATCTAAATGGAACTTGCGTCTCTTTGACTGGTTAATCTACCTGTCAGAGGAGTAGAGGAGAGGGTCAGGAGTAGAGGAGATGGTCAGAGGAGTAGAGGGTACAGAGGAGAGGGTCAGATGGAGATTCAGACGTTTCCTGGTCTCTTACCTGTTGAAGGATAGGTCGGATGTGGCGCAGGGGCAGAGGACTGAACTTGCTGTGTTTGAGGAAGTCGTAGAGATTTTGTTCAAGCATCTCAAACACAAGGCAGGTGTGGCCCTTGTGTTGGAAGCACTCGTACGAACGCACAAAGTTAAACTCATCTGCATTCTCTGCACTCAGACGATTCAAGATGCCCACCTAGAGATGAAGAGGAAGAATTGCAGGTATTGAAAGTGCTGATGAAAAAAGAAAAAAAAAAAGCCTTCCAACTGCTAGACTTTTTTTCTAAAATAGATTTGCTTTTTTAAAATTTGTGTATAATTCTAATGACTTGTTCTGTAAAAGCAAGTCACACTTATCGCAAATATTAAAATTATCAACGGCAGGTTAATGATATGCTTATAAAATCTTATTGAAGAATATGTTTGCAAAGTAGTCAAGTGTGATGTGTCCATCAACTGAAAACAATGACCATGTTTACACTTTTGTTTTTACAATTTTCCTTTTTTACTGTCATTTTAATCACTATTTCATCTTTGTAGTTTCTCGACCTCTTGTACTAGTATATAGCAGAGGTACACGTTGTATTACTATATTTCTATATGTTATTTTTACTTGTACATTTATAATAAATATAATAATTATACTTTATTTGGCACAGGTCTCCTGCTAACTTTGCTTCTTATTTTGAATTTATATTTTGCTCTTTGTAATTATAGAATATTGTGATGTATGAGCTGCTGTGTTCAAATGATTTTCATTAATTTAATTTCAAAATGAAACTAAAAAGAGATTGCTTTTACGCTGACAAGGTCAGAAACATGGATCTATGGTTCTATAACTGTGACAGAAAGTGCTCGAGGGATACTCAGGTAATAATTTAGGCTAGGCTAAACTAGTGAAAGGTCACTTTTGATGAATATGGAACAAATCAAAGGAGAAATTAAATTCTGTCAACTGGACCAAAGTTTTTTGACTGAGTATGTTTCGCAGCTCATCCAAGCTGCTTTTTCAGTTCTGGTCAGATTGCTGGTGAACACTGCCTTATATCTGCCTGAAGGGGGAGCTAACTACACTGAAACTACTTTGAAATGAACACACTTGTTTACAGTTTCTGTAAAACTGCATAAAGCATTAAAAACAGATGAAATTAATCATATTAAGTTCAGTTTATTTCATTGACCTAAAGTTCAGTATTAGTCTTAATATTAGTAGTAGTAGTTGTTCCTGTCCTGCTCCACAGACAGACTCTAGAAGTCGTTTGTTCCACACGCCATATAATGCAAAATGAAACTGAATCGAATTACTGCTTAGTTATTCATTATTGTCGTTTCACTGTTGGTGCCAAAAAATGAACTTCCCTGGGGATAAATAAAGTATTTATCTATCTACTAATACAGAGTTTGAATAATAAATATACATTTCTGTTAATTTGTATTTGAAAACATGTTTTTGCCTGTTACCTCGATCTGTCCCTGCCGAGCATAGGAGGGGTGGTTCTTCAGGATCTTGATGGCCACAATCTCATTGGTTCCTCTCTTCCAGCACTTTGCCACCTGCCCAAAGGTCCCTCTGCCCAGAAACTCCAGCACCTCGTAGGAGGAGGAGACGGAGCACAGGATTTCATGCTGTACCAGCTGGTAGTCCCCCTCTCCACTGGAGCTACTGCTCTTGGTTGTGGGGGCAGAGTGGGGGATAGACTGGCCCGTGGTGGTGCCTCCATTCAGGGCTCTGGAGGAGAAGGTGGCTGCTGGGGCAGAGAGCTCCTCCAGGATCTGCACACTGCCACAGCCACTGCCCCCTGTGTCCTGAGGGTCCTCCAGCTTACGCTTATGGCCTCTGGGAAAAGGACAGGCAGAGAACAGAATGTTACTCCAATACTCTCACTGTAACAAATTTTAGGATTTTACAAACAAAAACGGCACATTTATCCAATTTCATTCACACCATCAAATCCTGTTTGTGCAATAAATATGTAAATAATAAATATTGAATAGCAACTCAAATCACATTTGTGTGTACATTTTGTTTGGTGTTGATCAATGCAAATTAATTATGAATCTGCTCTGTTGTCTTATTAAAAATTTCACAAAAAGTTTGATTAGTTTTAGGACAATATAGATGTCAAGAAGGCACATTATTGGTCCAGAAAACGTATAAAATTCCAGCATTAATTAGGGATGCACCAAACTTTTTTGGTTCTGATTCCGATACTATGGCTTCTGCCAATACCTGATATCAACTGATACTAGCATAGCGATGGAAAATGGCACTCAAAAAAAACAAAAAAATTTTTTTTACCTGAGGTAAAATTTATCCAAATGTGTTATGTAGCTGTTATTCAGCTCCCATGCAACTACAGAACTATCCTGGCTCATGCAAGATTGAAAGTGATTAGAAAACATGAAGCCTCATGACAACTACTTCAATTGGTCAATGTCACAACAGCAGAACAAGATGAAAAATCTAACTTTAATTACATCCAGTTGAGAGAAGCAAATAGACATCTTCCCTGTCCACAAATGCAGAAAGCATTTACATTCTGCACATTTTTCACAAACTAACTAGTAGGGGTGCATTGACGTCAATACAGCAGATATTTGTGCCGATAGTGACAAATGTGCTGGATCAGGGTTCGGTTCAGTCAATACTCTGGTTGGGCCCTTATCTGATTGGCAGATTTTGGCCTGAAAAGTGTCAATGTTTGTACATTTAGTCATACAAAACTGTTCATTAATTATTTGAAGGATAAACAACAAATACAGAATACAATTAGATCTCATATATAACTTAACTGTGTTTAAAGGAAATAAGTGTCATTTTCCATCCCTACACCGGTATCAGTTAATGTCGGGTATCGGCAAATACTTAAAGTACCAATATCAGAACTGAAAAAGCTGGGTTGGTGCTAGGGATGGGCATGATTCATTGATTAATCGATAATTGATCATTAAGAATTTCATCGATTACGTTAATTTTAATCGACAAACCGAATGTAGGTTGCTGTGCGTAGCGTGACCAAATAGGGGTCTGTACATGTGTCTCTCTGCACTCAGAAGGAGCGAGCAGACACAAACATTCGGTCAGTCTGCAGCGTACCAAAGCACAAATGCGTATTTCACGATGATTTGTACAAGAAATTTCACGCTTTCCGTTGCGTTCGGGACAAGTGGGAGTCCATGTGCACAGTGTACAAAGCAGGAACATATGTTTCGGTGTCCAGTGGTAAAAAGTTTTGCCAGGTGAGAGTCGCGCAATGTCGATGACAAGTCCCCACCTCCACCTCCCGTACGGTGTCCTGGTTTTGACAAACACAAATATGGTCACACTAACCTGTATTCCACTGAGTCATGTCTTTTAATCCGACAGAAGTTGACCGCATCAGCGACACAAGAGCTGTAGTTTTATCTTCGCTGAGTTTATGCAAATTAGCGATGCGGTTTTAAGTTTCATTTCTGTGAGAGTTGCGCAAAACTGAATTAAACACATTATAATGTCAAAGGAATTGATGTGGCTCTAGAGTCGTTACGGTTTATATGTCGTAAAGTTGAATTTATTTATGCAGATTAGTAGTGCAGATAGTAATAATAATGATGATCATTTTAATATAAAAACGTTAATGATTAATCGATAATCGATCGTTAATTCTTCCGACGATCGATTAAGAAAATTTCACCGAATGCCCATCCCTAGTTGGTGCATACCTACTAAATAGTATGTCTCTCAGTGTCACTGTCTGTTTGGCTTCACCTTTGGCTTCTGCACAAACCTCAATGCTGTAATGTGACTGGTCGCCAACCACCTCGCGGGCCTTATCACACCAGCAGGTGCTCCTCAGATGGATTCTCACAAATATCGCGAAAATCCATTTTGCTGTGCAAGGTTACTATAGAACAGGCTTATATAAACAAATATTCAAACAGTATGAGACTTTTTGGGTGACTACGACCAGTAAATAGTCTTATTACATAAATTTATATTTCCAACCAAGATATCGAATGAACAAAGACATTTGTCAGTATGATCACCAACACCAGTACTGAATTGGTACATCTCTAGCAATAATCATGTAATTACCCTGAAGCTATCTTGGACAGACTTCAACAATCATGATGAAGCTCCTTATCTCTGGAGCACAGGACCTACAGTACCCACCTGTGTGTGCGAGTGTCTGAGGACGACTCCACGTGGCTGTACTCTGTCACTCTCCGGCTCGACCCTCGGGGGAGACTCCCGGTGCTGTCCGCTGCCCTAACCACCACCTGCCCCCTGGAGCCGGCCGCGCTGGGGGCAAACACCAGAGAGGGGGCAAACGCAGGCACCGTCATGGCCGCCGCAGAGGTGAAGGGGTAGGAGCCATAGGCGTCGCTGCTGCTCACGTCCCACGCGCCGCTCTCCACCTTCAGCTTCTTCACTCGACAGAAAGCGCTGGAGGAGACGGAGGGAGGAGAGAAGACCTGCAGCTGGGAGCTCATCTCTGTAACAGGGAGGGACAATCTTACTACCTGTTACCATATTACAACACAGTTCCATAGGGGTGGGCGATATCTCGATAATTTAAATATATCAAGATATTTTTTAAACTAGATATGGATTCTGACATATCGATATAATGCTTATATTTAATTCTGATTTCACCGCTTCACTTGCTTGTCTTCTCTGTGCACACCCCCGCCTCCCTGATTTTGCTGCTTGTGTCTCATTCACTTATCACTACTGCCGTGAATGACCAAAGTTGGTGCCAGTGAAAAGCTTCAACCACCACGAAACTTTTCCAACATTTACAGACAAGACCATCAACAGCACATCCTTTGTCACAGAGAGAACACTCATATGAACACTGAGTCATGTCCGAAAGAAGCTGAACCGTGTGAGAGGCACAAGGAGTGAACTGTTTATGCAAATGAGCCATGAGGTTTTAAGTTTCATTTCTGTAAAACAAACACATGTGGCAAAACTGCATTAAACACATGATAATGTCAAACACGCTGATATGGCTCTAGAGTCGTTATGTTTATATGCTGTAAAGTTTAGTCATGTAAAGTTTATTTATGCAGAAGATTTTAATGAATAATGTGTTGCAGTGTCACTTGTACAATAGTGTTTGGAAACGTTGGGTTTGATCTGCAGTGGATTGTGGGAAACCTCACAGCTCCTTACTGCTGAATAAGAATATGGGTCTGTTAAAATAAGGAACTTCTCGAGCTTCTTCTGCTAAAGGAGTTACTGCAAAGATGAGCTTGTGTTGAGTTGTTTTATTTATGACTGAAAAGAATGAAATATGTATTATTTCTTTTATTTTACAGTTACATTATTTATGTATTTAGGGATTTTTTTTTTGGTAATCTTAAATGTGGCAGAAGCACTTTGTTCCTACATGAACTAACGACTCTTGCACTTCAATAAAAAAAGACCTTGTGGAATTTGGCATATTTGTTTTTGCAGTTTCCAGCTTTAGGGGCTTATTTTTCCTGTACAGATATCGAGATATATATCGTATATCGAGATATAGCAAAAATATATCGAGATATATTTTTTGCTCCATATCGCCCAGCCCTACTGTTCCCTCTGCATTAGCGTCCTCAATATTGTATTTTGATTGATTCATGCATGTTTCAGTAATCCTGTATTGTCCTGCATTTGAGGTTTGGATCCTCTGAAAAATCTTTCTTCATCTATCCCCTATCTCTGCCCGCTGTTCTGTACTTTGTTGTGATTTTTCAACTCCAGAATCAGATCTTGCAGGGCATGTACGGTTGAAACATGTCATGTTGCATTTTTCATTCAGAGCAGAGAAGTCAGAACAGGGACTACTCATAAATAAAACAGGTGAAGCTCCAGTTATATAATTTGTAATTGGACTTCAATTACATTTTTATGGATATGTAATCTAGTAAGACAATGGTTTAACGGCACCATAACAAGTAAGAAAGTCAGGGGTAAACTTGTTTCATAATAATCCTCAACTTCAATTTCTGATTATTTTTGATTAACTGCCTAGCCCTAAAACCATGTAAATGAAAACTTGCTTCTTGCTCCAGTGAAATACCAAAGAGCAGAGACTCAGCTCTGCAGTTTTCAACAGGAAGTCACCGGACCTGTTTCTATTGTTAAGTCATCTAATTACAATGCTGCAGTTTACAATTGAACAAAATGTTTAATCAGAATCTACATGTTATGTTTTAATATTAATATAGTTTAATACTAATACCCAAAACCAAGTATCTGATCCAAACAGTACAACTGTCCAAACACTACCAAAAGCAACATTTATACATAGAAATGCTAGTAAACAACTGACATATTTATGTTAAATAACTTCATGCTGCCTACTTTCCTGCTGTGGTCCATGCAAATCCTACAATAATCCTCCCAATAATAAGTCAATCAAGATAACACTATTGACTGAATATTTCTCCATGTGTCTGATGGCTAACAGTCCTACACATGGGGGGGGGCATCTGACACAAAGGGACATTTCAGAACATGTTTGTAGGGGTCTAAATGACAGGGTGAGCAGCAGCAGGTTTTATAGCTGCTACAATAAGGAATATGTTTTGCTCTGTGCAGAACACATCAGATTACCTTCATGATTACAGCCTTTGGGACTGGATTATTTCAGGAATTCAACATGTAATTTTATAGTCAATTAACTGATTAGACTTAGGTCAAACATACAGAGTTTGCAGAGAATTCTGAGAGAGAATATCTGGAGACAATAACCAAATAAACAGTAAATACACTTGCATTACATAGTGTGGAAATATAAAGATGACAGGTATTCTATAAAACGTTGGATGAATATGGTACTACATAACATTGCAAATTTAACGGATTCCTTTACATTACACCTACATTACTGTGTAAAAACAACAGTGTGTAGGAGGTATACCATACTGTGGATCATTACAAGAGTATTTCCATGGAAACCCTGTCCTACTCCTCAACAAATAAAGTTTTTCAGTGCAATAACGAAGACCAAAATGAAATGTTTTTTGCATAGGTTCTGGCTAAAAAGTCACATATTGTGGCTCAAACTATGTTTACTTTTGTAACATGGTTTACACGCTAAGAACCAAAACAGAAAGACTTCCAATATGTGAAATGTGTTCATTTAGTTTCATAAACATGTAAGACCCAAATGCTCCCAGTCCAGTCATACAATGTGAATACCGGATCCAGCGTCCCCCTGGCTCGAAAGTCCCACTACGAGCGTCCCTCTCTGCGGGAACGTCCCCCTCCTCCTTACAGGAGCCCCCTTCTCTTGGGTGGCACACGGGTACCTGCTGTGCCCTGGAAAGGGGGGACATTCTCACGGGCCTTTAGTCAGCCGCATCACGCACTGTGATGTATTGAATGAAATAATCAGCTTCTATATCATAATAAAATTAAATGTAAATGCAGTGAGATCAAATGTCGGGCCTTGTTTGTGTCATTTTACTGATCTTCCCAAAGTGGCACACATTTTTTCAGAATGTAATATTAATATAATCCTCATTTTCTTGCAGATGTTTACTATGAAATCGTATTTAAATTTTTTTTTTTCTTGTTCTCCATTTCCTATAGCATCTGTAATGGTTGATTTGGGAAGAAATATAAAATTATTTCCTTATCTGCTGCCATGAACAGAATGTGTAAGCAGCATTTGAAAAAATCATTCAGAATAATTTTTTGGAAGGTCTTAACTATATATTTCATTGAAATATGCAAGATCAAATCCTGAAATAGTTACCTGTGAGGAATTTTCTGAGACTTGCCCTCTGACCACAAAGAACCAGCATTTTATCATCTAAAGAGCCTCTACCCAGGTTCTGCAGATGGACTGAAGAGAATATTCAGTCCATATATCATGAAAAAATTTAGTTTTTTTTTTTTTTTTTTTGTTTAGTTTAGTTTTTTCCCCCAATGTATATATAAATTAACTAACTTGGTTTCAATTTACAATTCAGGGGGGACCTTCCAGCCTGGGGAACTCTCCAGCTGATTTCTGAACCAAACCAGAAAATCTCCTAGTATGTCAAATGTGTTAATTTAGTTTCTCTAAAATATGGTACAATAATAAACACGTAAGAAACACGTAAGACCCAAATGCCCCAGTCGAGTCATACGCATTCCCCATTTTAGCTTTGACATTACCAACGTGAACTAAATCAATCATCATTATTATTACTCATAAAACTGCAAACAGAAACACGACAGCAAACACACAGACAGCAGGCCTGGCTCCAAATGCACCGTACCACGCAAAAATGTGAACGTCAGAAACCAAAAGTGATGCATCTGAAGTGTTTTACTCACGCAATCTCTCAATCAACGTGTTCTACTTAAGGATAAAACACGATCAGGCTTTTAAAAGGGGTTATTTGCGTGTTTCTTTTCCTGACCTATCGTTTGTTGAACTAGAAACTTGTGACACTGCAGAGAGGCGTAATGGAAACTGCCACAGCCCTGAGTCTACTGAAATAGCTTCACCATCTGTGGGTTTGGACCATTTGATACGACATTTTAGCACATCTAACAACCTCACACGCTATAAAAACAAGACATCAACCCTTTTAGCGATACTGGCTTTAACACGTAACCACGGGCAAGTTTAAATCTCATCCACAGACCTATTATCTAATCAAAATGCTAATGCTAAGAGGCTAGCACGTTAAACTTTCGAAATATCTGGCAATATTCAGCGTTTTTCTTGCACAAATACGAGTAATATGGGTGTATAAACATGTGCAAAATGCAAGAGAGGGTCAAAACATGAAAACTCACCGGATTTGGCGTTAATACAGTGAAGAAAAACAAGCCAGTCCAAGGTTTAAATCCCCCAGCTCTGCACAAGCACTACACGATTAGCCCCTGCTAGCTGCTGTTAGCTGTGGAGCTAAACCGAAGCTAGGCCTGCATTGTTTCTTCAGTCCAGAGGAGCCAAACCGCTCACAAAAGAGGTTATAGCGCAGAAGATATAAAATAATAGTCAGTGTGTACCATCCTTATGATACTTTAAACGTGATCGCCATAAAATATCTACAGTTGTGGCGGAAAATCCAAAGAAAATCCCAAATAAAAGCTCTAGCAGAAGGAGCAAAACCCGACACACCGGAACAAGCCGCGTCCTTTTATCAGCTGCGGCTCCTACGTCACATCCGGGGCCGGCGTCACACGCAAAAGTGGAAATTTTACACAAAATAAACACGATTAAAGTGCAAAGTCCACACTGCCCGAGGGAACGGGTTGTTTCAACAGCGCTTTCCCGGAGATTTAAGTTGAAAACTGTTGTTTAAACAAACGCCTTAAGGAAAACGAACTGCTCCTATTTCGGTAAATTTCTATGACGTAAACGTGGCTGGTTTTGGGTTACGCACACTTACGCGCTGGGTTACTGTAATCTTCTGACTTTTACTCACAGTTCATCAGTATTTCCTAGGACCTAGTGTTGGGTGGGTTTAAAGTGGTGGTGATAATGTTAAAATATGGTAAATACAGTGTAATATGCCTTGTTAATTTGATCATTTATTGTTATTGCCTAAAGATAGAATCATGACAAATTTTATTGATCCATAAGGCCAATTACTTGGACACAGTAGGTTGCACATTACAGTATAACAGCAAAGAGCAACATTAATAAATAAATAGAGACAAATCTCTACGTGTTCATCCTCATTTGTGTTAAATTATTATTATAAAATACCTTATGTAGTCTAACAATCAACTTGTTTTAGTTTCATTCTAGACCTGGTTCAGCCCTAATTTAAGCTTTCTATAGTCTGGGTTTGGATTTTGGTTTGGTAGTACTTAGAAGGCCAAACACCATGTCAGGTCTGGTGTAAAAAGCTTCAGAGTCATTGATCTGGGGGAGCCTATATAAGGGTGCTGGGGTAAAAGGAGATAGGCAAATAAGACAGGGACAGCTGTTATACTTATGTTATAAATGTTTCAGTTATATTGTATTTCCCATTATGATAATTATTGCTATCCTATATGCTATATATTGTTTTCAAACCAAACCTGCACACATAATATGGACTGATGAGTGTCTGAAGTGAGTGTGTGAACTGGGTGTGAATGATGATTTAGAATTGTTATGATGCTTCGGTCAGTATAAAGACATTCCCTTTGTATGTTTGATTTTATGAACTATAATATCAACCTGATCAGGAACAACAGGTGGAAATGAGCACTGGCACTACAATCTGGTACAGTGCATCTCTCCTGTTAAGGTTTGTGTATATTGTGCACTTACCCTATCTCATTAAGTAAATAAACTAAAAAAATAGAAAATAAAAATTAAAAAAAGGCCTGGATTTGAACGTTGCCAAAACTAAGGACATGATAATTGATTTTAGACGTGCACCTTTGTGTGTCATCGACGGTGATGATGTTGAAATAGTGGATAGTTACAAATATCTGGGCATCGTGATGGACAATAAACTGAAATTTGACCTAAACACTGAAAACATTGTCAAACGAGGGCAGCAAAGAATGTATCTGTTGAGAAAATGGAACTCTTTTAATGTAAACAAAATTATTCTCAACAATTGTTATTGTTCTTTTATCAAAAGTCTGCTTTTTCTTTTATTTGCTGGTTTCAATCCTTGTCCTTAAAGGATAAAAACAAACTGCAGAATATTGTTAAAACCTGCTCAGAAATCACAGGGTCAAACGGAGGGAGCTGCACTCTGTGGGAGGAGCAAATGCTGAGCAAAGCCAAGTGTCTCCTGGCACAGCCCCTCCATCCTCTGGCTCCGGATTTTATCCTGATGCCTTCAGGGCGTCGGTTTTATGCTCTGGTATGAAAGACTAACTGCTTCTCAAATTCTTTTGTGCCCTCTGCTATTAAATTCCTAAATTCTAAGGGTACAGTTTTCTGAATGTTGTGCACTGTAATTTGTAGATTGTCATTGAGTTTGACTTGTGGACTGTAATGGACTGACACACTGTGTGTGTGTTTGTGTGTGTAGGGGTGTGTGTGTGCATGTGTGTGCGTGTTTGTGTGTGAGAAGTGAGAACTGTTCTGAGATGCTACTAATGAATTGCCCTATGGGATCAATAAAGTTTTCTGAATCTGAATCGCTAATTATTTTATTTAGATTTATATGGAACAACAGCAGAAAAGGAGAAGTGTCACACACTGAGCTGAGTGAGCTGGAGATTTGTTGTTTTTCTCAGGTATTTGAATCTGTATACACTACCGGTCAAACGTTTTAGAACACCACACTTTTTCCAGTTATTTATTGTTTACTGTTTCCTGTTGACCAAAACATATTCTAAACTTTAGATTTATGTGTGTGTCCAGCTTTGGCAGATAGAACAGCTGAACACACTCGTGGCTCGTTCTTTTTACAATAAAAATCAAATATTGTTCAGAAAGTTCTTCCCAAGTCTGTTGCAGAAGTTTCATAAATGTGTGGCACTTGTCGGTTGCTTCACTCTTCTGTCCAGTTCATCCCAAACCAGCTCCATGGGGTTTAAGTCTGGACACTGTGCTGCTGGACACTTCATGTTTTCAATCTTTACCATCTTGTTCTTTTTTCCTGAGGTAGTTTTAACAGAGCTTGGATTTGTTGTTTGTTCTTTTATCTTTTTTTAACCTCTGTCTGTTCAGTTCTTATCTTTGGACCATGTCTAGCTATTTGGATATATTGGACTTGCATGACTTCAATTACAGTGAATAACTGGAAAAATAAGGGTGTTCTAAAACTTTTGACCAGTAGTGTATATAAATGCATTGTTTCCTGGTACTTTATTGCGTAAATAGTAGTTATTGCATGAACTCTTCCTGCAGGTTTAGTCTTGTGAGTGCAGTTAGGGTCAGATACACAGAGATATGGAATAGTGTTGAGAGCTTTTGCCATAACCCCTTTTTAGTCGACCAATTGATCAGCAGCATGTCTTAAGTCCAATAAGAATTTCTTCAGTCAACTACAGACCTAGAAAACACAATACTTAAGTACAGGGTTCCCACAGTCATGGAAATCCTGGAGAAGTCATGAAAATTGAAAATGTAATTTTCCAGGCCTGGGAAAGTCATGGAATTTTGTATTTCCCTGGGACAGTCCCAGGTTTGATCCCTGTGCCCCCTGTCCCAGCAGATTTATACAAAACCACTGATTTGTCCCAGTTTTATACAAGAAATGTCCCTATTTTGACCAATCTGATCCTACCAACAGTAAACAGACCCAAAAACTGACATTTGTTTAGGTAAAATACAGAAAATCTGCTTAAAAAACAACCAAAACACAAAGAAAATGTGATTATACTGACTCATTTTAGAGCCAAGTGCAGAACAATTTTCCTTCATTACAGAATTACCATGGTCATGGAAATCCTGAAAAAGTCATGGAAATTTAAAATGTCATGGAATTTTGTAAATTCAATGAAAGTTTTGGAAAAGTCATGGAATTTTAGTATTTCTTTCATGAGACTCATGAGACTATTCTGATTATTTCTGAACATCTGCGCCTTTTATTTAAAAGAGACGACAATAAATGCACTGACAGAATTTTGAATGTTCAAAACCTATAATCCCAAACCATAAGGTGAGTGGAAAGAGTTAACATTTCAGATTCAGCATTCAAAGTCTGATCAATTCTACACATGTATGTGCCGTTAAAGTTATGGAAAATTCACTTTAGCTCATGAAAAATTCATGGAAAAGTTTTTAAATTTTGTTAGTGAAAAAGACTGGAAATCCTGTAAATAGAAGCATTGGACAAAAACAAGACCAGGTCAAATAAGGTAAAGTGCAAATTTTCCTTTTTTATTCTGATTTCATTTTACAGCAGAAATTATGTAAAGCATTCAGAAGACATTTCCACATATAAGGGCAATATTCAAAACACATTGCATGGCCTCAGCAACAAAATATCATTTAAAAACATCAACAGTTCAGTGATGCCTGTGCATGCACAATTTCCAACAGAAAACAGGGGCAGGTCTCTCCAAACTTTCAGAAACTAGTAATAGGCTACAAAAAGAAAGGAACTATGTTAGACAGAGGAGAGGCGTGGAAAGTTAACACAACCGCAGGCAAAGTTGGTTCACAGTTTATGGAGAATACAGGGCAGACGATGAGAGGAGGAGGGGGGGGTTCTAGCCATAAGTTTCTAAAAAAGAATCTATCATTCTAGCATGCAATGTGGTGTTTTTCCACTCCCTCTGCACAACAAAGCCTGAAATATCCGCCTTCTTTTCTATAGGCGGACCATACTCTGTCTGCCAACTGTCTACTGTTATGGCATTTGAATATTATTTTTATTTTCTATCTAAGTCTACGTCATTACAGTTACCCTCCGCAGCTGATAAGATATTTGTAGGTGTTGTAGGCTCATTTCTACTATTGAATTGTGAGTAGCAAGCGTTACCTAAGTTCACTATGACACTATAAAGAGTGCAGTGTTTAGTACAGCGAATGGAAGATGAGTTCAACAGAAAGTCTATGAGATTTTCAAAAACCGTGGCGGTCTGTTTTTTGGTTTTTTTTTGTTGTTTTTTTTGTTCTTTGTACATTAGAAACCTGTAATTACTGGCCATTTTATTAGGTATACCAGTCGTAAAGCTTGTGCATTAGACGTGGGGAAGGGAGATTTGCCAAAAAGTTATTCACTTTTTTTTTTTCTACATATTTAATTATCCAAATGTTTTAACCCTTACATACTATTCGGGTCAAATTTGACCCGTTTTGACATTGATCAGTAGTAAAAATACCCCATGTGTCATTCTTTTATTCCGAAATGTGATGACTTTTCCTAAATTTTGCCAAAATACACAAAAATGAAAATATTTAAAAATTTGACTGTACCTATTGACATGGATTTTCGATCTATCAGTGCAGGTCAAATGAAGGAAAATGGAAGTTTTATTGAATCTTGAAACTGTGAAACTGCACAGATCATGGTGTGTGTATTTTTTTATGGGACATTGGTGACAGAGTTCGAGAGTTCACTGTTTTGACATTCCCCCATGCCCCAGGTTCCCAGAATTAGACACCTGTTGGTTTAAAAAATATACTCTTTCTTATCTTTACAGTTTGTAAAGGTTAATTCAATATTTATGTCAACTCTATAGTTATAATCTATGACGCCCGTGGATCACTATGATATAATTTGCACTTGCACATGAA